ATTAAATTAGTATGAGACACGCTGTTGGTCTACCGATCCATTCCAACGTACACTGAAGTTATGTAACTGTTCATACGCTGCTCCACGACTAAATATACAGATGCAGGCCTCAATTCAAGTTGCGATTCAAAAAAACGGTTGTATAGTTAAGCTCTGTGTACAGCAAACACCCTGTCTCTTGAACTTTATAAAATCAATTAAACGAGCATTTTTATTTGTCTGTTAAAGACAAACTCAAGAAACTATGCAGACTATTAATTTTCAGTCTTATGTGCATTTTTCCAAGAAGGGGTGTTGGTAAGTAATTGTAAATGTCTGTTATGCAGTTTTGGAACATTTTCATTGTACCAAGTTGTTGATGATTAGTTCACAGGAATATACTGTATATGTAACAGTTATATAGAACAGATATAATGAAATTATTACACAAGTACTAATTTCATTATATCTGTTCTATATAACTGTTACATATACAGTATACAGTACTTTAATCAGTTGACCAGTGAGGTGCTTTCTTTTACAATAAATATACAATCTAGGTACGATATAATGCTAAATAGTTATGGTTTTCGAAAAAGAATGCCCGCTCTACCTAAATCGATTGGGAAGTTATAGTGGTTACACCTACAGCACTGACAGTTTTTCTGCGCCTCATTAACTGCGCTAGCAAATAGTTACACTATTCCCATCGAATGCAAATTCCTAAGCCTCTTTTAATGAAACTTATACCTATATGGTTGTGCGATACAATTTGGAACCGGTAAATTAAGTGTGGAAGATATTACAAGATACCACACGCGCGCTGCTCAATAAATTCCAGAGAGTTCGTACGGTCATGATCAATGCGAGCATGCGCATATCTTTTTGTGTAGCATTGTTGGTGGCCTTGAATGAACCCAGCTGAAAGTAGCCATACGAAACAGACTGTGAGGACAGCAAGATGAAAGATGATCGGTTTTGTTCGCATAATAGAAGATGCTACTCGCGGCAACCTGAATACTAATACGAACCAAAATCGTAATTAGGTACCGGCGTGATGCTGTGTGACTATAACTGGAAATTTTAAATACAAATCAGTCAAATCTTACAATGCCCAAACATCTGGAGATTCCTTACCAGATTATCATTTTTACAGCATAGCGCAGCTAATTAAGATTTAATACGCCGTGATGTAGGCGTTTAATTTCGCGCACAATATAGCGCGCTTGTATTGCACACATCGCATTAGTTACTACTATGTTGTTTTGCAACTGCAAAAAACGGACCTAAAATGTTTCCGAGGGGCTGAATGTTACGTAAGTTTCTTCCAGGTGTATTTTTTACTATGATACGGTCATTTCCAAGCAAGTGCACTGACCCTAAGAATGCACTTATAGGCTAACATTCGATAGGTGGACAATGTCCAGCGCGATTTGCATCGGTCATTTTAGTGCAGTTCAGTGGGCATATTAATTATGAAACCAACAGTCACTAATCATCTATGGGTTGGCTTGTCACAGCAGATGGTCAGTGCAGAGGTACTGGATAATAAGCTAGAAGCTTTATGAATCTGAAAGGAGTGACTGACCACAATGTGATGGCGAAGGGATCGCAATTGAAATCCATTTGGGCGTACAACTCCCGTCCCTAGAAGAAATGAGGGAATACGGAGTTCAGGCTGAAGTCCATGTTATGCGCAGTCAAAACATTTCTAATCCTGCATTCATAACTACTACAACCGGTTTACCAGTTGCTTTTAAAAGGGTGCTGCACATATGCGGTCAAATAAAGAATTTTCATTCTCCACTGTACGCTTTTCACTTGTGCATGATCCAACAGTTCACGCTGCCGTTTCGGCCAGCCTTCGTCCTTTGCTGATTTTAATTGGAATTTTGAGTTGGATCAGAAACATGTAATCACAAAATTTTTACGAAGTAAAGCCGACACCTTATTTCAAAGAAGCCGGAATTTAACGAAGTCCGACCTAAGATGTTTTGAAATGTGACATTTTTAATGGATACTTTCATTTTCCTGTATTATATATTATTAGTCCATGCCAAGCACGTGTGTATTCAGATTAGCAGTAGAGTCAGATAAAATCTGATGCTGGAAGTTGTGCGCGTACGGGCTGTGACGTACACGTGGCCATTGGACAGCTGGCCTGCTGTGATGTTATGATTAGTCTAGTGGACGTCTGCGGCATACGCCAATGTATGCACCGGACATTCTGTTTCCGAATCCTTTTGCCTTGAGCCGATAGTTTGTTTACTCGTCCGTCATTATCTACTTCATTTCCACTGTGTTGACGAATCATTTGCATTCAAATATCCTCACGGTCATGGCCTTTCTTTAGATGGTACACTAGTCGCTTGTAGTGCTTGTTTCCGGAAGTTTTCCGTATTTAGTGTCTTAAGAGTGTCCTATGGTTAGTTTCATGCTAGCGGTACTAGTTATTCCGATTCGTGAATATTTATGGACTATTTTGAAGAAAGATGAAATTTCGACGGATCATTTCTAACCGAAATGATACTATGCACGCTTTATTATTGCACGGTAAGTTTAAAATTATCAGATTATTTCCCCAAGAAGCACAAGCTCCAACTGCAATTTAACGCAGTTAACTGGAATGCTTCTTCATTTCACATAGTTCGTTGTTTCTTCCTTAATTCTGGTTTCCGTTTAAGTGTTAGTAAAGGGCATCTTTAATTAGGTATAGTTATTATTGCGACCGCTTTGAGTGGCACAAATGCAGGCATGATTGCGAATGGATGAAATTTGAAATATTACTTATAACAAAACCAGAGTTCTGTCTTCCATTGTTACGCAATTGTGAGACTGTGTTACGATATTTTGATATTATTGATGTGCACGAACAAAACGTTGTTTATCTATAGCTTGTCAAAATAGCCTGAATATAAGTCTATCAGTGACAACATGCATTATTTCATCATTACTTCTTAGCAGGAAGTTACAAGTTATAATTGCTAACAGATAGTATTATGATATCGGGATACGTAAATGAGCTGCGTACAACTTATTAGATATTATGTTATAAGGTTATGTAGCGAACTACATACTGTACATTTAACCATAAGTGAGACTGTCAACGCTGTATCTGACTAGAAATTACTTACCAGAAACAATTATTAGAGGATTGTGAAAATTAATAAAAGGCTCGTAAATAAATGTTTCACTTTGTGGTGTAATGCAAACTGGATGCGCGGTGCTGCATCTCTTGTGGATTCTGGAAGCTGCTTTATAACGAAAAATTGAATATTAGAGCATCTGAATTTTGAGCAGAGTTGCATTGTTCATGAGCAAAATGGATTCTCGGTTTTCAAAGTCTGTGGGTCACATTCCGATGATCGTAATATCAGAGGCTGATGAAGGTAAGCAGGATAAGCAGAAGAGCGCAGTTTCTTTTGATATTTACATAAAAGTTTTGTTTGGTAGCTATTTTCTGTTTCTCATGGCACAGGGATAAAAACGGTTGCACTGGCCAGTATCACGGTTAAATTGCCTAACTTGTGTATGTAAATATTTTTCGTTAAAAAGTACGTCAATTTGTAGTAAAAAAAACAGAAGCCTGTTGTTTTTTCAGAATTTTTGAATAATATTTTATTGTGCTGCAAAGAATTTTGATTTACTGCAGTTACGGTACGGTACTGTACAATAATGTTAGCTACACGTGAGGGCCGTGCATGGTCAGTGGTAATATAGATATGCAGGACAATAAGTATTCATTATAATATTTCGGCTTGCTGCTACAAGCGACTACAGAGTAAACAGTCGCGAAATTATCATAACAACGGGCACATGCTCCTGTTTTTCTTTATGGTTTCTCTTGTGTGACAGGGCCATTTTTCATCATCTCGAAGTGGTGATCGTTTTGTCTGATGGCAGTGTGTACCTTATCACCCAGGCATTCAATGCACGCGCAGTTGCTTATAACAACAAAATCCGATAACATACACGAGCACAGAGGTCATTGCGTATACATTTTATAAGCATTTTAAATTCCGGTAAAAGGTGTGCGTGTGATCACTGATATACAGTCCCCGCATTTTGCTGATAAGGCACTTGCGGTTTATGGACATTTCCGCTCTGTGTACGCAAGAGCGGCCCAAGATTACAAAGAAAACGAACTGCGCCGCTCAAGTATCGGTAAAATACTGTTCTGTGTTTCCGCACAATACATGAACGTAACAAAATTTGTGAAGACAAGTTCTTACCGAAACGAATTTCGTTCATATCGAAAACTTGAAGTCTGCCGGCTTTGCTTGTTTGATCGCATTTTACGTACCAAACGCAAACAAGCAATTGTTGTACGCAGACTTGACCGCTTGATACGATGTATGCACAATTCTTTAACGTGCTTCATTTGCAATTCCAAAGGCAAACTGCAGATAGTATGAATTATCTTGGCCGTTATTATTACTCAAGCAGGTTTTGAGCGAACATTGCATGAATAAAAGGACACCCTGCAATTTTCAAAAACACTGAAATTTAATTTTGTTCGGGGCTGAGTTCAGTGGTATTGCTCAAACAATGGTATAGTACATGTTCAATGTTTCTTCATTTATGCACTATGCAGTATGAACATTGGAACGCTACCGGTCTCGCTTTAACTTCGTGTGTGTATCAATTTGTAAGCGGAAGTTTTTTCTGTGATTCCCACAACAATATGTGTGTATAAGAAATTGTTTGGGAATGACTGTTGTTTGGCATTGTTCCTCGAATGACGAATAGTATGGTTGTTTTTTTCTTGAGTAAGCGATGGGACGTTTGACAACATATGTTTGGTTGTTTATGGGCGGCAACCAGCTAGTCGAAGCGTGTTGTAAAGATGCTGACAGCACATCATGTAGTTGAGCAATTACCCACAGTGCATGTTTCTTTCTTCGCACAACTTTTAATAGTGGCGCTAAATTGCTTGCGGTCGCAGCGAAATGGTAGAAAATGATTTCATAATGGAATTACAATCTGATCATTTACGCAGTGTTTTCTCTCTGGGTGTACAGACTCCAACTATGATCGGTTAAGTGCCTCGGGGACTTTGAAGAGTCTGAAGAAGATTTCACCATCTGTCAATCGACTTGAGCGCGAACACAACATAATGCCGGAGAACGCCACGGCCAGCTCGCAGTATTTGAGTGCATCATCGCGAATCGCCAGTTTTTTCGCTAAGCGATCATTCCGCGCGGCTAATCCACTGAAACGGACCAAGAGCGTCACGAAGTTGGATCGCAAACCGGACCACACTGATCTCATGGAGCGAGCCAGTAAGAAGACCTTCCTGGCGGCTCCCTCCAGTCAAGCGTCGCGCATCTCCCGTTCCCATGAGTCCATTATCTCGGCAATGCGCCACGGGGAACGCCTGTCCGATGGCAGTGTACCTGTGGCTGCACGCTATGTGGGCATCGACAATGAGTGGAAATACTATGATTTCTTGAGGAATGAGGACAAGGAAAATATGATTTCCGGGTAAGTGCTTGCCTTTGCGTTTACTTTGACGCGTTCTTGCTGATCAAGTTGTAACAACCAGAAAAGAAATTTGATTTTTCACCTAAGCTATTGTCAAGAAATAGGGTAGCCTACTTTGTACTGAAAAGCACGGAAAAGACAAATAAACATGCTGCTGTATTGCTGTATCTCGAATGCTACATGGATATTAATTTAATGTACATCTGTTATGTTAATTCCCAGTCCTTACAGTTAATATTATTACCGTATTAAATACCTACATGTTCTTCATACAATTTTTTTATTATGTTGTAAAAGGTTTTCTTGAGTTTGCAATTTTTATAAGTTCCGCAATTTATCATACTTCTGAAACAGGTTTTGTCATTTTCGGCTTCGCAGGAATCGATGCGTTTGGGTAATAATTACGCAGAAACTGAATACATTGTTTTAAAAATCGTTTCGCAATCGATCTTTAAATTATACCATGGCATCCGATTAAGTTATATTTTCTGTGTGAAATATTGTTGTCAAAAAGATTTGTGATGGTCGTGTAAAAATAAGGTAGTAGCGGTCATAAAAATTGTCAGCCGTTCATGGACAGCTTCCGTTGATTTACTGTCTGCAATACACGTTCCGAAACGATGCATTTCGTAGTTTTTATGATCATTGGCTACATAAACAGCTAGCGAAGCATCCGCTTTACATAGAACCTAAAGTCACCATCACGATGAATTACGATCTGCTTTTGCAGGCCCCAGCGCTGCGTCATGGACAATCCAATCTCACCGCGCCGCACCGATCACATCTTGAAGTTGTGGCTTCAAGAAGCCAAAGGATTGCCATCGAAGAAAAGGTAAAAACTTTGCAAAGTGGGTCAATGTTATTTTGAGCAGTGATGCATGGCCCAATGAATTATGTGATTCCGGTTATATATGCTCGTGTCATTAACGATATTGCGTTGTTGTTCACGGATGAATAGGTATTATTGCGAGGTGTATCTCGACCAGAGCCTTTATGCACGCACATCGGCCAAAGCCAAGCAGGATCTCTGTTTTTGGGGTGAACAGTTCGAATTCACCCGCCTGCCTGTCATCCAAACGCTAGAAGTGCATTTGTACCGGGAGGCAGATAAGAAGCGGAAGAAAGAGAAATGCCAATTGATTGGCAAGGTGATTGCGCCCATTTCCGCCATTTCCGGTGGACAAATCACAGAGCGCTGGTAAGGAACGAGTTTTCTATTAAAAATGGACACATACAATGGGAGTGTTGCGGTTAAATTGGGTTACAGCCAATTTACCATGGTATATTTAGCCGCCTATAAATGGCGCGTTCGAACGCACTTAGTTTTTTTCTCTATCGATTAAACGGAGGCTGGTTATTCCACCTAGTCTATAAACCTAATTGACTATAATTAAATGATTATTACGAGAGCTTTCGCGCTGTGAAAGAGGATAACTACCGCAGAATCGAGTGACCTAATTGATGGGTACAGCAAGCCAGATTGAATAATTTGCCGCTCTAATCCGTCTCTGTCAACAACCCCACGCTGTGTTTGCATTATGTTTTACGCTTGTCAAATCACTCTACTAATAACACTTGAAACAAACTACTTGAGAAGTAATAATCTTTTTTCTTTTGGTTTTTGGTGCTGACGAAGCCGATTAGCAGCTGTTTGAGTTTTATGTGTGCAGCCGATCAGTAACGGTAGAGAAATTTGAACAAGCTCTTATGTTAAACAGTAATACGTAAATCGCATATCAGATTTCCTTGCAACAAAATCTATGATAGGATGAATTATACGGAATGGAAACGTAATTAGAATTGTAGGATTTTAAAGATTTTTTTTGTTTTAGTAAATGGACTTCAATTACCACCATCTATTGCTTATTCAAACTTTGTTCACATTCTAAATCACAAATCTATTTTAAGAAAGTCTGTACCTTCTCTGGTAATAAAAAATACGTCTTTGTAGTTAGCAGTTGGCCCCTACAAAGTGTTTTGCCACTGTTTTTTCAGTGTCAGGGATATACATGCCGTTATTTGCTGCGGTGTGGTAAAATGAAGGTATATAAGCGAAAAATTGGCAAAATTTGCTGTGCTTGGCTGATGCCGCTAATGTAAATGGACTGGCATTGTAAATCCGGTGGCCGCCGCCGCATGTCTTGACCCCTGCCGTTTACTCTCCATATCTGACATAAAATGATTATTTAGGTATCCTGTCATCCTGGAACGCAATTCCGGTGTCAAGAGTGATGAAGCCGCCATCCGCATTAAGGCCCGTTATCAGGCCATTCACATCTTGCCGTTGGAGAAATATCATGATCTCATTGAATATTTAAAATCCAATTATGTGGAATTGTGCCGCTTTCTTGAGCCGCGCATCGGAATAAAAGCCAAGGAAGAAATCGCCACCTGTTTAGTGAACATTATGCACAAGATGGGCTGGGCCAGTTTATTTTTAGTGGATGTGGTCATGGAGGAATTAAATGTTTTGGATGACTGCCATTTGACCTTTCGAGGCAACTCGTTAGCCACCAAAGTCCATGGAGGCTTACATGAAATTAGCGGGAAATCGATATCTACATGAAGCCCTTGGGGATCTGGTTCGGGCCATAATGGAATCGGAGGATGACTGCGAAGTGGACGCGCTAAAGTTGACTACGGACGCGGATCTCCGAAAGCAGCAAGAGACGCTAATGATGATGGTGGAGATGACCTGGGCCAAAATCATGAATTCGACGAGGTATTTTCCGGCGGAATTACGGGAAGTTTTCCAGACGCTCAGGGAGCGGCTGACAGCTGCCGGGCGGTCGGAATTGGCGGATACGCTGATTAGTGGGTGTATATTCCTGCGGTTTTTATGTCCGGCTGTGCTCAGTCCCAATCTGTTCGGGCTGGTGCAGGAATATCCGAACCAGAAAATTGCTAGGAATTTAACGCTGATTGCCAAGACTGTCCAGACACTGGCTAATTTTGCCAAATTTAACGGCAAGGAGTCATATATGGAATTCATGAATGCTTTTGTTGAACGGGAAATGCCCTCCATGCACACGTTCCTTAAATTGATTTCGGTAAGCGATAGTCCAAAAACCTTATAATTAACGGTCCTGACACATAAGGCTTCGACCGCTTAAAGTACACTTTTAAATTTTTTACTTTCGGGACAAAATGACGATTGATTATGAAACTTGAAATGATACGATTTATGTAATTCAGGAACTCCCAGAATTTGATATTGGAATCTATCCTTTGTTGTTTTTACTTCGCTGAAGAGAGTTCAGGTTTTGTGAAAGTTGAACTTGGAACCTGGTGAATTGGTGCTTGACAATAGCTTGACTCCATTTTTGGAAATGGTAAAATTTGCGGAATGCATTTCAGAAGCTGTCATAATCACGGTTACTTATCACAGCTGCCTAATGAACTGTCATCTGGCTCTTTACCTCTGCAATTATCGGATTTTACCACAATGGCGATTAGCAGTACGCGAAAGATGATATTAATTGAGTCAAAGTGGCTGAAAATTGAAATGACCTGAGACGAAAACTGTCTTTTCGGCGCCGTTTGACTGATAGAAATCGAGTCTGGGCATTAAAAACTCGAGGAAATTGCTTTTTTTTAACGACATTGTGCATCTAGAACAAAATGTTTGATATGTATTGCTATTGTTGGCTAATGAATACTAATCGCTAGAAGTGTGACAACGAATAAGGGGAGTGGCGAACAGAACGCATTAGTTATGTGGTTGTTTCAATCGCAGGTGTCCATTATTATGGTGAATAATCAGTTTCAGAAATTTGAACGAAATTTTGTTCGTTTGCGATACAACCAGCAGTTAAAGAAAGAACTTAATAAAAACATGTCTGTTTCTGACATGCATAATGCACGGCTTGTGACCCTTAAAGTGAAAAAGCCGGTTATGGTTTCGCAATAAAGTGATAAGCTGTCTCATCTTTTCTGATCCGGTTTGATGATATTTAATTCAAACATCTGCCGATATTAAACGGATTTGACAAGTAGCACTTTAGTGGTCGGCACGTGGATGTTTGTCTTTGAGGATTTCTACCTCCTTCGATAATAATCTGTTTCCTTTTGCAGACGCCGATGCCGATGAATCTGGCCAGCAGTGCATCAGAGAGTGAGGCCCAAGTGGACATTGGCCGTGAACTATCCACTTTAGCGACCCTCCTGCGCGATAGTTTACAACAGGGCAATCTACTTCAGCATCGCAACATACTGAAAAGCCTTCCGGAGATTCTTGATAATTTGACATTTGAGCTGAGCAACAGCTTCCGCTCAGCGGCGGTCACCGTAAACAGCGAATCGGCCGTGTATGCAACATATCTTTCTCGTGAAATACAAGAGCAATTACTGGCCCGACTGCAAAACATGCATTCCACTTGTAAAGATTGCCAGGAATCGGCGGCAAAATTACAAGCAGTTCAGCATCACCACCACCATCCACTGGCCGAACGGGCCAGTGCACCGGTCAATACCGGTCGTAACAACTACCTTCTAGGCTCGAGCCAACGTCCGGCGCGGAACTTAAACACGGCGGACGACTACGTTCTTTTCAGCGCCATTGGCCAGCAGCGTGGGTCGAATCTGGAACCTCCAAATGAAGACAAAACACGCGTATCACCTGTTAAACTGACGGTGAACGGTGATTATGTGGATCTTATGCGGAGTGAACATCACCGTGGTAGTCAGACGAGCATCAGTCAGATGTCCAGTGGTTATCAGTCGTCTTCGCTTCCCGCACACAATCAGAGCAGTTTGAGCTGCAGTCCGGTGGAGAACGGCATGGAGAACGGGAATGTGGTGTATGTCAATCAAGCCGTGGTTTCCGCTCGCGCGGAGCAGAATGGGCGGACTCGCTTGTCATCCAGTAGTGACAGTGCAGCGTCCAGTATGTCTACCCCGCCGCGAGATCGGCGAGGGTTTACCACGGCGCCACGGACAAACCCCCATTACTCGCAGACAACAGTAAACGGGAATGTTGTGGGTGGCACTCCGGCCTCGCCGAAACTAGGGATACGGGCATTTGGTGATACGGAAAAGCGGAAGATGAAGACGAAGATGAATGGACAACGCACATCCACATCACCCGATCGAGTTTCCCGTGAAACTGTGGGAAGTGACAGGGATACAAAACAAGTAGGTTTTATATTGTTGGACAAGATTTTCATGGCTTTTAAAAACGTACTGACCGTGTGTGTTTGCTGTGTGTTTCATTATCCCTACTACATAATGTTGAGGTCACTTTCAGATTTTGTTTTTTTTTAACCGCAGTACGAAATGGAAATTGATCAGTTGCGTACGCAGTTGCGCTTCCTCCAGCTTAAACTGCAAGATGCAGAAAGGAAACTGGCCAATCAGGAGCAGACTACGGAAAAAGTTATTTCAGATTGGAAAGCCCAAGTAGAAGCAGGAGAAGAGCGGATCAAGAAAGAGCAAGTTGAAAAGGATCTGCAGATGAAGAGTATTGTTGTCCGGTACGTGATTGTTTGCTCCAGTGTTTTGTACGCTGAAAATGGCGTGTATCTACGAGAGTGTTGTTCAATAGGCTAATTAGTGTGGAAGAGGAACTTCGCCGCGAACAAGCGGAATTGATGGGCATGATGAAGGCCAAACAGAAAGTGATAGATGCACAGGAGAAGAAGATCGAAAGTCTTAATGCTGCCAATCAGCGCCTTCTCAATACTCTGGCCCAACTGAAAGAGAACTCGCCGATGCGCACGCGCAACGGTTCCGTGCCTGTGTCGGGTGGTCGCACCTCGCCTTATCCTTCCGGTGGCGTTCGGGAAACTGTGCATAACATCATTATTGAGCCTAAAGAGACCTTAAATTTTTTGGATCTTAATGAAATTAAGGAACTGCGCAGTAGTTCTTGTTAATATTTGTTTGCTTTTGTCATTATTCTTTTGACTTCTTTTGGTCCCGCTGTACAATGGATTGTGATAATTATGTATTATAACGTCGTGTTGTACAGTTTTGTATTCCTGATTTTTTCTCAAAACTTCTTCCTATGTCTTGACTGTATTACTGCCTTGCATTATCACATTCAATACGGTGTCTGAATTTAAGTACATTCAGTATCTGAATTTATTGTTATTAGGACGAAAGGTACCCTAATAAAAGTACAAATTTAATGAATTTCATATTGATCTTCAGCTATGCATTATCTCGTTCGATTACATGATTACCGTCCACAGGGTTCTTTCACATTCTTAAGATCTTCAGCCGGAGCATTTCTTGTTCGATTACATCATTGCTGTCCACAACGTCCAGTGCTCCTTAGGACTCAAACACAACGAAAGAAAAAATCGATGGAAAAGTGCGTGTACACGAGCTAGAGCCCACGGTTTAAGTAGTAAGCCGAATATTATTAACAGCCGAATATTAAGTAAATTAATTTTCTTAACTCAATAATCAAGTTAAAATATCAATATAAAAAACCCTTAATCCATCCTTGTTTTGATCGTTCGAGTAGTCACCTTGTCCTTCTCACTAAAAATTAAAGCTTTTTGCGCTTTGTTTGCTGCAGTATGCATGCATACTCGTTCACTTACATTACATGCACGGTGGCTCCCGCGCCAGCTAAACAATCGAAATCCACTGCGTTTAAAATGACTTGTGAGATGGTTTCGAACAGATCATCCGGTTTCTACCGACAGGAAAAAAGGCTGTCACCAACAAATAACAATTATACCAGTAAGTAATTTAAATTTAATGTGAGCAGTCAGTTCCTACAAGTTACCAAATTTGGTTCCCATAAAGCTTCGCAAAGCCCCAGCAGCGATTCTTCCGCAGTCCCGGCGACGGCAAACGGCTCATTACTCTCGCCCGCACCAAACAAATCCATGGCCGTCACAAACGGCTCTTCAGTGTCCACGTCAAGACCAGCAATGACCGGAGCAATAAAGTATGGCCCAAATCTGAAGAAAAAATATTTTATGTTACTAGTTTTCAGTTAAAACGACGGCTACTGCAAAGCTTACCGTTATCGAAACACACACATAATTCCATAAACAAAAATTTTTCCAATTACTGAAAACTTCAAAAAGCAGACTAACTGTCTTAAGTCACCTAATAAAGACTAACTGTCTTAAGTCACTTAATAATGTAAGAAAAACATATAGAAATTCTGAAATTCACATTTATTCAGGAAAACAGGAACCCAAGCGTATCGAAAATTTTAAAAGTGGATATTTTAGATTTTTTCGAAACTTTTTGGTTTAGAAGAAATTTAGAAAAGATCGACGTGGGACGCACCTTCGTTCATACAAGAACGTCTCCACCAGGGCTTTGAAGGAATGAGGATGGATTTTGCGATTTTCCCGCAGTTCGTACAAATTCACTCGGAACTTCAATTTGTTCACCCTACAAAATCAACAAAGCACACTTTCAGCTTTCCCTGCAGAACAGAGCCAGCTGAGCTCGTCTGTCTGTCCTACACAGTGAGGGAATCCGTTGTGAGGCCCGGAAGCCCCAGATAGAGATGAGGTCCCATCTCGTAGACTTTAGGGAAATCCGTGCCTACAGTGAGACGGCCCGCTCCCAATCGGTGATCAGAAGCAATCGCGACGCACTTATCCCCTTTCATCGCCACACACACGCCACCATTGTAATTGAAAGGATTCTATAGAAAGATCAAATGAAGAATCGCAATGCTAAATAGCCACTGTAGGCAGTCTGAGGCCTCACCATTTTTTATGATCACTCCAATGGGATACTTTATCGACGAACGCAGAATTTTGATCGAAACAGAGCCAATTCAATGATTAAACAACAATCTTCCGCGGTTTCAAGTTCTAACCACTTTGTTTTCTAAACTGTAACTGTCTAACACCTTAAAATTACTTCTCAAGTCTCAGGGTAGTGGATGCTGCAAAAAATCACAAATAAATCAAACGAAGTGAGGATTTCATAAATGCAGCGTCATACGCGGTCATCCTAAAAGTAGCAAAACATGAAGGCTTGCTCCCATGCCCTCCGTTTGGCCACCACTATTTTTAACAACCGCGGGTGGTTCGCTGCAGCGCGGAGCGATAGGGCAGTAATAAGATTACTTCGAAGTCCGCTTTAGAACCGAAGAAAATTTGAAAAAATATTTGACAAGAAATATCAAGGTTCATTCACAAAAGAAATTCTAGGGGTTATAATTTTCTTTTCATTTATTTATATTCATGTTGCAGCATTTTGAATGGTTATCCTACTCTGTTGATGCACAATGAGTCCGAAGGAGCCCTTGCGGTACGTGTATTTGTGATCTGTTTTTCGTTTTTTCCTAGTCTCTTTGCTCAGCTGCGCTCTGTTTTTTTGGCTGTAATGATATTTCATCAGAGGATATTTTTCCAGGATTTTGCGGCGCAAAGAACTAATCAGAGCCGAACTGGTAAGTATGCCTTCTCGTATGAGGGCGTTATCGTACTGCGACCATTGATTCCTGGGATTTATCATTATGATTTACTTGCAAATTGCAATTAGACAACTGGAACCAGATCGGATGGACGAGGCCCAATAGAGTTCCCTCGCACAGCGGTGTCCGAGATGAAATGTGTGTACTCATTACTCTGACGTATTGGGTAATCATTATGAACGTAGAATATGGATCGACATCACGGTGCCAATCTCTTTGCACAGGTTCAAATCCAGAAGATATCTTGACAGTAGCGCGCGTCGGTCGAACATGCGTTTCCTGCTTTTTGCAACTGGTAAATGCCCCCTTCTCCGCATCCGCACTTGCTAAATCCGCAATAATGCGATTATACTTGCTAGAGTTTAAGAACACCCGATCCGAGCATGGAACTGATAAGTAAGAATTGGTGAAACAGAGTTCTGGTATTTAGTTTTTCCGGTCGTGAACTCACACGGATGTTTGTTGTGTAGAATTACGGCTGTTTGGAATGGATGAGACTGAAGCACAGCCGCTTGCCGATGGTGGTGATGAGGATTCTGATGATGAAATTGAAATCGATAATTCCGAAGACCGACCTTCCCTGAGTCTGCAACGTGAAGCTATTCTGGAAAATCTGTTTGAAGAGTGAGTATTTTGAAAAATATTATTATAATAATTGCTCTAGCATTCGAATGCTGCTCGGTGATTAGCACCCGATGCGGTTTACCTACCAGTTTTTATAGTTTTGCATAACGGGCGCTTTATGTTTTTTGTAGATTTAGCGTGATAAATGAGGCATCCCTTAATGTCTTCCCAAGCAAGGTGCGACAACGTTACTTGTGAGATTGGACTGAAGTTGTTTTACTGACGCGGCTACGAATTGCAGTTTGTCTTCCATTTGAACATTAACCTACATGTCCTTCAAGAGGACGGGAGTGTTCTTGACGCGTGTTCCTTGGCTTTGATGGCTGCTCTTCAAAGACGTACGTAAATCCATATTTTGGAGGTTGCGTTCTTTGTTTGGTGCAGCGTGCACGAAAGCCGAAAGCTTACTGATTTGATGCTCTCTTTGCTATAGTGAGATTTCCTAAAGTTGCTTACATTGAGGAAGAGGAAGCCGTACGCTATGACTGGGATGATCTGACTTCTCCCCAAAACCCGGGCGCTCCGGAATTTTTCTCTACCTTTGCTGTAATAGGGTAAGCAGGTTTGCTTTAAAATAATAAATTTTTTTTGACGGATTAGGAAATTTGTTCTCACCAAAGGACGTATTTTACTCAGACTTTCAAGAGGTATGTGAAGTGTGAATGAATAGGGTAGCTAATAACTTTCTGGTTAGTTTGATGAGCAGTAAAGCATTTTTCTGGAATTAGCGGAGACAAATGATTGCTACTACTTGTAGAGATCATATTCTGGCTTGTCCGACAGCAGAGGAAGAACGTGCCTCTGATGCAGTGATTGCGGTTATTGTTCAGGAAGATTCTTCAGTTTCGTTTATGGAGGTTACGGGTACAACAAATTGCTTACATTAAAAAGCTGCTGCTTTGTAGCTTTTATATTACAAAATTGCTTGTTGTGCAGACGGAATCCTGCCATCAAAGGATGGATCGTTTATTGCAGATCTCCTTTCACCGCTGATTGACAATGCAGTGGCAAGAAGGAAAGAGCTAAGAACAGTTTTGCTGAATCCAGCAGCGGAAGACACTTTGATTCCGAACGAGTATGCTGTTCGTTTGCGATCATTGCATCTCGGAACTGACTAACCTAGTTAGAATATTCCTGTTTCCCAAACTTCGTTGTTGTGTGCAATACCGTGCGCCGACAGCGAAAATGGTCAAAATACGTGTTAAACTTGGATAAATAAACAACAAAAATCACATTCTTACGGGAGCCATACTTTTTAACCATACCCTTTTGTGTATTCGAGCTGCAAGAAAATCGCTGCATCATAGCAAGGTCGTACTTTCAGTGACGCTTTTTAGACTGCATACTCGTATTGATTTATATCGCTTAGTAAGAATTTTTTACCGGTTTTTTTAGTCAAATGTGGACATAACTAGACATTTTGGTAATTTGCCCGAATCCATTGCTGGAACTGGTTTCTTACAATCACCGTAGTAGTTATTTTTTGTTAAGTGTAAAGCGGCAGTCTGGCTTTTATACGCTATTCCCGCCGTTCCGCGTTGTGTAATTGTAATATTAAATGCCTAACGGCAATTTTGCAGCATTATAGCACCTTTTAAAACCAGACCAGAAGTTGATTTTTAGCGCATTCTGACTTTGGCCCTATTCCATTGTAATACAGCGCTCAGGAACTCAGGAATTAAAAATGGGTCTTAAAGTAGTTGCAGCACTCTTGATTGCATCCTTTTCCTGCGCTTCCGCCCAACAAGCTTGTGGCTCGAACGGTGTGGCGTGCATAGGACTGCCGCATGCCTGCATTAACGGTGCGGATACATCGAAATGTGATGTCGTGGCCAAAGTGTCGCCCAGTTCCGCATCACCGAATTCAGTCAGGATAGAACTGTCAGGTGTACCGAATGGACCACAGAAGCTGGGAAGTCCGGCCATCACCAGCCGATGGGTTGCTGTGGGCTTTTCTGAAGTACAAAAAACAGTTTTTAATTTATGCGTTTGATTTTGGAAGAAAGCCGATAAATTTTCGTTGCTCAGAATGGAATGATGCCAAAGTCATCCGTGGTGCACTGCTTTGAGCAGAAAGGTCAAGCAGTATCGAAACTCACATGGAATATTCCTGATGGAAATTTGAATATCGGATTTGACGGCGTTGACGTAAGTAGATTTACAGTGCAATGGCACCGTAACGTTTTTGTACTTAATAAATTACAAAATGATGAGTAAACAGATAGCACTAACGTTTCGGACGTTCGGTAGCGCCTTCTTTTGGAAGCACTTAATTCATCCCGAATATGTAGAGTATTAGGTGGCGATTGAATTGATTAGCCGCACTACGTATCCTTATGGTAGATTGTGAGTCATCTGTGGGGAGTTATAGAAATAGGTAGCCAAATGCAAGCTTAGTTCTCAAAAATTTTTGCGTTTAAGATCCTTTGAAAAACAGTAAAATGTGTTCATTTTAGATTCTATGAGTTTCTAACTCTTACAAGGGCAGTAGCGTAAGTGAGAAATTCAAGGTAAATACCTGAACGCGATATTGCGTTTCGATTAACGACACATTCTTTATAAAATCTAATCAGTGCATACTTGTGCAATTAAGCTGTTCTCCTTCTGGCGCGGTTTTCGCGTCGGTACTTGTATACAGTAAATTTTGATGAAATACGGTATTCAACAGTTTTTGGTTTGATGGCTTCGTCGATATTATATGAGCGCTTAATTGTAATTGAATTGTACATTTTTAGCAATCGCCATTAAGCGTTGTTAAAACATCTCTGGATGGATCCGGAATCCAGTGTACCGTGGATTTAAAGAAGCAGTTCACCAACAGTGGGACACCAGTAGACCTTTCGAAAAAATACTTTCTTATCGCTGCTACCGGGCCTTTGTTAAGTGGTATGTGAAATGATGGTTTATTGTGCTTTATATGTTTATCATACTTTTATATTATACGAGTATTCTTTAAAGGCTTCTGAATCGTGGTATTAAGTATGATGCAGTGTTGATTGATTTCTGCAGATTCGCTAAGCGTTCACGATTTCGCTCCGGAATCCAGTGCTCCTACCAGTTTCTCGTTTTGAACGCATTACTTACATATCCTAACACTCTTTCGACAATTAGCCTGATGCCTCAGTTTTTCCTTTTTGCGAATGTTTTATCACGGCTGAAATTTTAACTGAAATACCTTCTCTGTCAGGTTTTATCCGGGGTGCATTACCTTTATTTTCTGCTGGAAATAAAGTACCATACCTCCTGGATATTCATTGTCACAAAACTTGCGTTCATTATTGCAAGCAGTTTTTATACAACCTTAATTAGCTTTTTGCTTGTAGGTGTATTTGTAGATTTATATATGAGTTTATTGGTTATTATGAGCTTTTTGACCGTTTTTGCTTCTGCTGTGCCGACATAAATCATGACAATCGTCGGTGTCGGTGCGAGCTGTCATTAAAAGAATGACCGCACGCAAGCGTTGTTTATGCATTCGCTGGTCAGTAGACTCGCTTTTGTTCTACAAATTAATGTTTCTTGCTAACGGCGAATATACACGTCGATGTGCCAGCACTCTGCTTGAAAGCGAGCGTAGGTACTTCTTCCATTTGGAAATAACCTCTTGAAGGATAACATACACTTCGAAGTGCACCTCGGCATCAAAATGGGTTTCGCATCGCTGGCATTCCTGATAAGTGCGTTATTATCCTACGTATCCGCACAGCAGGCGTGCGGATCCAATGGAGTAGCATGTATTGGACTGCCGAATAACTGCATCAGCGGTGCGGATACCTCCAAATGCGATCTATTCGCCAAGGTCTACATTAGCCCGGCGTCCAGCTATTCCGTCCGTATTGAACTGACGGCTGTGCCGAATGGTCCGCAGAAATTGGGAAATCCGTCCTCCATTGTTAGCCGATGGATCGCGGTCGGCTTTTCTCCAGTACGGACAATATGCATAATGATATCTTCTGAATCACTGTTTTTAAATTTATGTACAAGTGTCAAGACTCACGCAAACGTTTTCATAATTTGATAATTTGAATTCAAGTTTATAATAATTCCTGCGATTAAACGGAAACTTGCGATCTAGAATGGAACTATGCCAAACGCAGCGGCGGTGCACTGTTTCGAATTGAACGGACAAGCGTCAGCCAAACTGACATGGAATATTCCTGATGGCAAGGTCAACATTGGTTATGCTACCATTGACGTAAGTTTTGAACGATCTGATAGTGGTGACCATTAATTATGCCACACAATATATTGAATATATTGTTTTCCTTCAGTTAACTTTTTGTCTGCTCAAACAATGTATACTTGCACTCTGTGCTTATTAGACTTATACGTACATATGCGTGTCGATTTTTCCAGCAATCACCGCTGAGCGTTGTGAAGACTTCTTTGGATGGATACGGACTTCAGTGCACCGTTGATTTGAAGAAACAATTCACCATTGCCGGTGTAAACGTGGATCTCTCGCAAAAATACTTCCTTATCGATGCTACTGGCCCTGTACAAAGCAGTAAGTCAAGCAAGTCTAATGATTTGATAAAATTACTTTACTTGTTAGTAATCAAAGGCAATTTTGTCGTAGATGGCACTATGAGTGTGCATGATAAACCACCTGGATCAAGTGCACCGAATAACTTCTCGTTTTAATTTCCTGCAATAACCTGCTGGATACTGGAGTAGATATACGAAGTGTGTAATTTTTTTAATACGATGATGTACTGGGTATGATTGCTGCTTTGAATTTAAGTTTATCACTGTGGATTTAATTGCCGATGTTTAAAAAAATATAAAACCGTTCGGAGTGACTGGATATAACGGATACCGTCATGCATAAGGTCATGCTGAGCATTCCCTTGCCGTACAGTAAATGGCGAGTTGGATAAAATTAGGTTATTGTTAACTCAATTATAATACCTGGCCGGACAGCACTTATTACAATGGCATTGGAGCTTGTACGAAGTACTTGATTACGCTTTCATGGGATGAAAAACCGTAACTGGATGCTCACTACTAGTATATGTTAGCAAAATCAAGAAGTCATTGACTTTCGATTTTGTTTTCGCTGATCAGTGCATTCCGTATTTCATCTGCTCAGATTGCAATCGCCATAAGTGTGTGAGCATTCATTTTAACGACGTCAAATGAGGCGTGGATACTGGGAAGTGGAAATACTTAAGTAATTTGCAATTTTCAGTAGCTTACTGTACTTAATTAAGTTTGTTTGCGAGACAGTACACCTGAAATACGCGGTAACTGATGAGTTATTCTGTTCTGCACCTGCATAAATTTTGACATGAGCGTAAGAACTTATCGCAAAATTAAAACATGCAGTTTTAACAACGGTGCACTTATATGCCGTATACGCGCAAATATGGGAATTCAATAGAGTTTTTCTGTTAGCTACATTTCGTCATGTACAGGTCAAATTGTCAAAGTTCGTAATTGTACTGCATTTATATAATTCATATAAATCTTGTAGTGCAGAAAAATATAAATATTGTAGTGCAGAAAAATAATAGCATTATTTGTACAGAATACATACCGGCGAAATCGTTATTAATTATATTATTTATGACTTGAATTTCCTTGATTTCCTTTCCTTGTCACCGTGATAAGATACTATCATTTTCGCACAATTACCACCACGTTAGTAGTTTGTATATTACTAACCGGTAAGTTGTTAACACCACAGCTGGCGTTCGTGCGTCAATCTCCGGTGGACCGGTAATCAATGCTTATTTTATCGCTTAGCCAGCAGTTACGGATAATGCGAAAAGGCATTCATAGATCACACTATCGCCGCAAAATAAAGTTGTAAAATTTGTCAGGTCCGCAAAAAAAGATCTATTAAAGAAAGGTGATCGTACTGCATGTTGTTACAATTTGCAAATTCACCTGACAGAAGTCAAGTGAAAATTTGGGAAAATGATCCACCGCAAGTTTGTTTTCTTGGCTGTAACTCTTAGCATTGCCTTCTGTGCACAGTGCGCCTATGCCGCAAGCGCACCGCAATATCTCTATCAGTTGCAAAATGCTCAGTTCAGCAAACTTCGTGACAGTAACTGCAAATACTACGTCGTGGATCCTGATGATTCCGAATTGACCGCCAGCCAACTGACCACTCTAAAAGGGCAAGGAAAGGTCATCTTGGCTTATATTTCCATTGGCGAAGCGGAAACTTATCGTGACTATTGGCAGTCATCGTGGAAAGAGGGCAATCCCGCCTTTCTGGAGAAAGAGAATCCCGACTGGGGCGGAAATTATAAAGTGAAATTCTGGATGCCAGAATGGCAGACCATCCTTCTGAATTTCTTACGCACTCATATTTTGCAAAAGGGTTATTCGGGATTGTATTTGGACATTATCGACGCGTACTATTACTTCGAAAATCAACGTCCATCCGCAAAGCAAGACATGGTCAACTTTATTTCGCGAATTCGCGCGGAAACTCTAGCGGTTATTCCAGGAGGAAAAATTTTTCCTCAAAATGCCGTGGAGTTATATGAAAATGTGGGATATCGTCAGTTGATGGACGGCTTTGGCGTTGAAGATACTTGGATGGATGGCGACAAAATGCAGCCGAGTCAACAGACGAAATATGTATTGAATATCCTGAAGCAGGCTAAGCAGGATGGGAAGGTTGTTCTTGCTGTCGATTATCCGAAGAAACAGAACAATATCTGCACGTTTTATCAGAAGTGCAATGCGGAGGGACTCATTTGCGGAGCATTTGATCGAGATCTTACAGGAAAACTGCAGACCTGCAACGCCTAGTGCGTATTTCATCAGTCGTCTGCTCTAATTTTTTGCCAACTTGAGCCACATTATTACTGAGTCCAATATGTTTGCAATACCTTCGTAAATCCAAAATGTTGGGTAGTGCCCCTGCCCAATCATCATTACTGTTGTTCCTTATGCTCATTGCTCAGTGACCGTGTCAGTGAAAATTACAGGAGGCAAGGCCGGCTGAAAATTTGCTTTTCTCAGTTGGACTTTTTTGCCGTGGAAGAGTTACCATGTTAATTGAAATTTGTTACACGCTTACATGTAACCGGTCCTTTTGATAGTAGTATCAAATAATGAAATTCATAGATTTGATCGTATGGTACAGTAATACCAAATTCTACCAATAAAAATAATTACTTGTTTTATACAACGTTCAGGGTGTGTAGGTCACTTCACTGTACGTACAGTACCATAACCATAATCGTTAAGATTTCTTATTTTTGAGCAAACTGATGCGATTCTCGAGCGTCAGCGCAGGTAATTACCAAAACTAAATTTAAAGTGCCTATTATACCGTTCGCTTGTTCACATTAATTATTAATGGAGCATGAGCGCAAAACATAGCCTTAAATCTCGATAGCCAATGAAGACGATCTCAAGGAAAACATATTTAAAAGCTACGGTTATAATATACAGAATACTTAAAAATAAAATTTCGGCGACAGCACTGCTTTACAGTTTACACAAGACGATTTTATTCGGCGTGGACGATAAAGGTCAAGAGCAGCTGCTACAGAAGTTGTTTGAATGCTGTACGTCAACAAAGATCCAATAATAAAGGGGATGCCTGCAGTGGCCTCGGTGACCTTTTCGGACCAGGGGAATATGTAATGTGAAAATAAATGCACTATGCATTGCATGTCTGGAGTTTTCCTTTAAGATCTCGATCGAACGCTCCACACACGAATCCTTCCGCACCGCATTTCTGATAAAATTTGCAGATATTGTTCTGCTTCTTCGGGTAATCGACAGCGAGAATAACCTTTCCATCCTGTTTGGCTTTTCGTAAGGTTTTCAGTACGTAGTTCGCTTCCTGGCTCGATTTTAGCTTGTCGCCATCCATCCACGTGGACTCAACGCCAAAGCCGTCCATCAGTTTGCGATACCCGGTGTTATCATACAGCTCCACGGCATTTTGTGGAAAATCTTTCCTCCTGGAATAACCTTTAGAGCTTCCGTGCGGATTCGAGAAATAAAATCGATCATGTCTTGCTTGGCGGACGGACGTTGTTTTTCAAAATAATAGTACGCGTCCACAATGTCCAGATACAATCCAGAGTATCCTTTTTGCAGAATGTGAGTGCGTGAAAAATTCAGAAGGATAGTCTGCCATTCTGGCATCCAAAATTTCACTTTATAGTTGTTTTCCCACTCAAGATTTTCTTTTTCCAAAAACGCGGGCTTGCCCGGCTTCCACGACGATTGCCAGTAGTCACGATAAGTTTCTGCTTCGCCAATTGAAATATAGGCCAAAATAACCTTTCCCTGTCCATTCAAAGTGGTCAGTTGGCTACCAGTCAATTTGGAATCATCGGGGTCTACCACATAATATTTATAATTACTGTCGCGAAGTTTACTGAATTTGGCATTCTGCAGTTGATAAAGATACTGCGGTGAACTTGCGGCATGAGCATAATGCACGCAAGAAATAAAGTTAAGAGAAACGGCTAGAAACAGAAAACTGCGGCCAGTCATCTTTTATAATTTCCGCCCTGTTGTTCACGTGAAATATTATGTGAAATTGTGAACGGGAAAGTTTGAGGTCACAGCTTTCCTTTAATATCTGTAGAGGTTTGTTAAGAACACGGCGAATTTCACAACTCTAATAAGAATTGTATTCAATCGTACCATAAAAAATCGTAGGATAAGCCATAATTTACGTCGTGAGCGAGTACGTACAGGGGTACGTACTCGTCGACGTAATAATTGTCGACAAGATATGCCGCGGACGAGATTACGCCATAACATAATACAGGAGCATATGGCAAGAGCAAACACAGGGAATTTCTTCCAGAATTTTAAACAAATCAGCCACTTGGTGAAATCAAGAACTTATCTGTCTGTAACTATCTATACGTGAGTACAAAATCGCGTTCGACGAACGTACGTACGTACGTACGTACGTTCGTACGTTTCATTTATTGTTGGCCACGTACGTACGTTAACGTTACGTACGTGGAAGTGGTCGTTCAAACCAAACCATTGAAGGTCAGCGTGAAACTGTGCATCTAACACAATAGCATAAGATTTTTCCGAAGGCAACAAGTTGATCATGCGCCTTAGAAATAAGCGGCCGACAGGGATACACTTAGCGGCAAACTGCAACTTCCCAATGAGACTTTGTAGCTCACGATTAGTGCATGAAGTACGATCGACCCAGGAATCAAGAACGGAAATAATTTCAGCTAATTTCTTCTCTGGTAAAGAAATAGTACCAGCTACAGAATGAAGCTGAATACCAAGAAACGTTATTTGAGTTGCAGGCCCAGCTGTTTTGTCAGCAGCTAACGGGGTACCTAGCTCTTGTACGTGGGTAGATGCAGGAACATCAACTGTGGTTTTAATTTACACTCATTTCATGATAATTTAAGTTCGTACTGCTATGTCTAAATTGCCACTGCCTCGTAATATTAGCAGTTCATTCAGCTACGGGGAAATTAAGTCCAGAATTACTACAGTACGACTTTCGGCTTGCCACTTTCAAACATATAGAAGTACTTGTACAATATAATGTTATAAAAGTGCTCACAGTTCACATCCATTACTGCAAACTGTGCCATAAAATATACAATCTAGAGTAGTATGTGGCAAATGTACAGATATCAGCGAAAACTAATTCAAGTGAATTAGTAACGATAAATTAATTTATGTTACGTGCTAACCGCAGGTATGATTACTAAGTAGAGTAGTAGTACGGTGAAGGCTTCGGCTATTCCGTGCTCTGGTGATAATTAAATACCACATAAGCTGATCTGGAAGTCTAGTAAGCACTTACGGTACAATTAGCTGTGGCCAGCTGAATTTCTTTGTTCCCAGGCATTCATTTATGTTTTCTTTTAGCATTATTTCTCGTGTGCACTGTGCATTGGTCCAGAGTTTCGTTTACAGTGTTCATATCTTTGGTCCTGCGCACAGTTGCATGTTGCGCCCAGAGATTTTCCAGTTCCCCTCATACAGTGTCCTCCTGCGCATGAGAAATTTTGCGTGGCAAACACCCACAATTATTATGAATTCTTTCCAACCGATGTCCTGTATCAGGCTAGCTGTAGTAGTATGGATTGATCGCATGACCTTTCTTATGTCATGCATGTAATAAATTTCTGATGCCCTGCGTAAAAAATGTTTAACCAATAACGACCATTTAATTTATTATTTATTATCTATTTTAATTTATTTATTTGCAATAAGTGCGGCAAGAGCCGCACTTATTGCAAAACAGAAAGACATTTTTTGTATGAAGTATCGTGCTAATGCTGTGTAGTGTCATCTGTCATGTACTGTTGCTCAAGACGTGAGACACAAGTACAGGATAACACAACAATGACATCGCATGGTCGACATGAACATTTAATAGTGCTTTGCCTTCAATCGGTTTTGGTTGTACAAGATGCACACAAAGTGTGCACGAACCGGACAACAAATACAGGTAGTAGTGTTGTTAATATTAATACTCTACAGTATGTATTGTTGTTAACCTCCTAACCATTGTTTGTTAGTCAAACAATTGTAAATCCCAGCGGTAACTGCTGTTAGATGTTTTGTCATATCGTAATTTATACATTCACAAAAAAATCCGCAGATGCAAGAAGCAAATTAACGATAAAGAGTTACCATTGCGTTAGGGAAAGATTGTTTTTTTCATACTGACCAATCATCTTCGGCCATTAATGAACAAGCTTACCGAACTGAAATTTATCAGTGCTGACAATCATGATTGCATCTGCATACTTGCAGTATCGAGCATTATGTTCGAATTTCAGTATAGCCGCTGGTCGCTATGTCTCGCACGTCGCAAGCATTTACGAATTTGCAGTCAAAATTAATGATTCAGTTAATTTTTAAAATTCTTATCTAGAGTCAACAAATGAGCGCAGCCTCCTAAACCAGTCCAGAAATATCAATAACATTAGCATTCCATTCATTAAGTTTGTGAGACAATGTCTAGTATTTCGGGAAACAGACATGTCGTTGACGGGTCTCAAGAAGTTCGGGAGACAGACAGCAATGCCACTCTTCCCGCGGACGCTGTTTCGGATGGATCGTCCGCGGTTAAAGTACGTATTAAACAGATTCTGTTTTTACAGCTTTACTGGGAGAATATAATTTTCTTTATGTTAGCAGTCCCTTCGGGACCCGGAAGCTGCAACCGAAGAAGCTCAGAAAAGCGGCACGATGACACCGTTCTCATTTTTCACAACCAAGCGCGTGGTACTGGGACTCATGGATGTCGCACTGTTAACAGCCAATGCAACGCAGCTGCGTGATGTTATGGAACTTCCTTATCATCCCTTCAAATGTGGAGCCTTCATTCTGCTGGTTATCTCCATTGTTTTTCAGTTGCTGGCAACTGGAATATTTTTGGCGGTGTATTGGTGGGACAACAAAAGCTATGATAAAGAGCGTCCGTTGATCATTGATCCACAGCGTCGAATGATTCTGGATATCTTTTTTGGCCTTTTGTCCTTGCTGGGAATGGGTTGCGTTGTTGTGATTCTAGCTGCCAACATTTTTATTGCCGCTTTTTTACCGACACCATCCGATCACTTTACTGGACACGGAATGACTAACACGAGCAAGTGCTTTTTCGAATGAAAATGCGATACTTAAAATGAGTACCTACTTGTTGTCTATTACTGATGTGTGTGTTTAACATTGCTGTTAAATAGTGTATTAGTACCTTATTGAACTTATTGTCTTCGTTGAATCATTTTAACGGTGTGGATGGAGCCCGGTATATTGCAGTAACCCGTGTTAAACTTTATGCTTCGCTCGCGAAACTGTTTTGTTATTTGAATGCGTCGACTTCGACGCTGATTTACCTGACTTCGTGTATTGTACGTACAGAATGCAAGAAGAAGTATTGCACCTCTATTTCAGTAAATTTCAAGCGATTGCGGTTTCCTCTATGATGATTAGTATAATAGCAGAATAAATTAATACAATGCGCATAGTCATACTCTCAGGTCACCCCAGGCGTTACAAAAACGTTACCCGTTACACTTATAAGCACACGAACTACGGTACAGATGTAACTAATTTAATTTAAAATCAATTAGTAAATACTGTAACTCATAGTTTAATAACTTATTACCAAAATGTACAAAGCGAGCTTCACTCAACAATAACAATCAAATGAAGAATTTGTCCCAATTAACATGAGAAGGGACTGTGCATACTGCATAGCACACTCATAGCATTACCACGCATAATCTCCAAACTTAAACGCTGAAACAAAAAACAAGTAGAGCGACTCTCGTAACTTATAGAGTAAGTAATAAAACGCCTGCAATACAGTACCCGTAGTTTTTGTTTTCGACGGCACACTCGGTCGGTACCAGCTGCGGGTATTAAAACAGTTCGCGCCGGTATATGTTTGGGTCAATTGTGTGTGTGCACCTATTATTAAGCCGAAATTTTTATTGATTGATTTCAGTGGCATCTTCTGGTTGCTAACAGGTATCAAGCAGTGCGACAGGCTATTGGGAATTCCATGAAATATCTAGGGAATGAGTTTTTGATTTACATATCTGTTTGCCTTGTCTACAATGTTGCAGCTAAAAAAATTATATGCATACAAAATCCAATAGTCAATCAGCCATCTTCTCGGTTATGTCATTTATAATTTAATCCACACCAGTGGCATTCTAGTTTTGCGGACGAGTTTTAGTTTTGTCGACTGCATGGTTCAGATGTGAGGGGATCATTTACAATAGAAAAACTTGCGATAAAAAATGGAAAATATTGAGAAGGCGAAGAATTCTGTTACCGAACTAGGAAAATCCATCAAAAACAACATACGCGTGGTGAAACGCAAAGCTTCCCAAGGTTAGTCTCAATGCGTCCGCAGTTATTTCTTTAAATCAGTTCAGCGTCCGACATGATTTCGAACTTAATAAAAACGGCAAACTCAGTAAATATCTTATTACTGTTTATAGGTTTTGGGAATACAGCGGGAGCTGCACTACCAGAATACGACAAAGAAGAGGCAGTAAATGCCATGTGCGGCGTAGAACATAGAACTATAATAATATTATGCATAACAAATACTAAACAGCAGCATGAAGAATTGATATTGCCGTTTTATAAGATGGTTTAATGCTTAATTTCTACTTCCTCCAAAAAAATTAGATTAACAAGATGTTTCGTTAACATTAAAATTAATTTTATCGAAACGATTTATATTTCATTACCTAAGATTTCTTCTCCTTCAAAATTTATTCTTATCAACAAACTTTATATTAGTTTTATGAATGAAATTCAACCTCTGAGTACGTTTCTTCCTTTGCAGGATTTCCAAAATTCCCAGTTCCCCACCGGTTGCGGCTTCGAACTTGACCCTCCGAGGTAAGAGTATTAGTGCATAACTAATGAGTATTTCAGTACTTGCCGTTAATTACAGTACACACATACTGCCATACATTTGTACGAAAGTCACAGAACCATATTAATTTTTTAACCGGCGTTTTTAGCATTCTTACCCCAGATTTTACGTCCGCTATAGAACATATATGCCAATAAAAATGTAGAGTATGATATTCAGGTTTCAATCGTACATGCTTTCCACTACAACTACAAGCACCAAGGCAACGAATTGTCTGTCAATTTTTCTAGTTGTATTTTACAATACCCTAGCAATTTGTTAGCAGGTGGTTGTCGGCTATGTAACCAACGCCGCCGCCAGTAACTAAACGAATCTGCGGCAGACGAAATTTGTTCTACTCTAATCAATTCAATCCCATATTTTCTTTAAAAAAGTTTGCCCTTTTTGCACCATTTGTTTGCAAATGTACACCGGCAAGGAATGAGCGCGAGTACGTAACGATATAACGCAGGCTGGCTGTGCCCTGTAGACTGTAGAGTACTTACCGGTTATGCGGTAGTTTCACAACCGTAAGTATGTTTTCTACGGGTAGTGGCAAGTACAGTATTGTAGCTTTGCTCTGTGCAGCCCTTATTGTGCCAGTGCAGTACAACAGAGGTTTACTTTGTTTGATGATTTGATCTAGGGAAACTTTTATCCCTCATCCCTTTTATCGCTTAAACACATCTGATTTCCAAGAACCAATGAAAATGGAGGCTATAGTTATTAGGACAGATAATATTTAATTCTGTTTAAAAAAAGCACCATTTCATCATACTGTGACCTTAAGTAACCATGTGCTGCTGCGCTGCAGTATTCTTTTCTGAATTAAGCTAATTTAAGAGAGGTACTGTCAACTTTTTTTAGAATGGTAAGCTGTAATGTGCATCCGTATACGCATGTACTGAAGCTACACACTGCCGCAACGTCTCATTACGATAAAGCACAAAACATGCATTTTCCCAGACGCCGACATGTCATCGCAAGTCACTTTACGAGGTGTTGGAGCAACAGCAGGCACTTCAACTGGTTCGGCTGTTCCCCCGAATATCCCTTCGCACCTTCATGCGTAGTAAGTATGTTTTGCATAGATTATATGTAAAGTTCGCAAAAAACAGTGAACGATATCACTCTGACGCGCAGCATCACTGCGGGAAAAAGTTTTACTGAGATTTAAATTTCTTAAATTTGCAGCCAGTTATAGACAGCCTTTGATTTCGCAGTTTCACAAACGCCATGAAATCGGGCCCACTCACGACGGCAAAAGAGCTTGTAGCGGTCTCCTCCCAAAGGGCATTTTCGGAACGCGATTCGGGAATATCGTCTTCTGTTTTGGCAAAAACCGCACACTTTACTGAATCTGTAGAGGTAAATAGTAACCGACTTGCGGCTCGCAGTCACATACTCTTACTAACAACGAAAATACAAGTATTCTATGGTATTTTGTATTATCGCAAAGACGCAAACTATAATTATGCAGTTGTCTCCCCTGATCCCAGATGGAGAGTATATAAATATGATATAATGATATTACAACTGTAGCACAACTGATTACATCCGACTTACTGTTATTAAAATTTAATTATTAACAACTGACGTAGCAAATAAAGATAATTCGCTGGACGATTGATTCGATGCAATAAGTATTCCCCGATCCCAAGGCATGATTTCGTACGCTCGCCTAGCGAGCACAAACGGATACAGATTTCGAGCACCCAGCGGATCGCTTGGCGAATACGCAAAACTGTTTGGTTCAAAATGGCTATAACTTTATCCTGCCATCACACGGGACAACTTCTTAGGTATCAAAAATCTTCCCAAATGCTTCTTCGTCTTTTGACGCTTTGGTTGACAGATCTCATGAATCAGATCCTGTTATAACAAAAGATTTCATCCAGAACCAGATCCTGTTAAAACAGGATCTAGTTCTAGGTGAAGTCTGCGAACCAATGCGTCAAAAGGTGAGGAAATTCGTGGGAAAATTTTTTATCCCAAAGAAGTTGTCGCGTATAATGGCAGAATAAAGTTATAGCCATTTTGAATCAAACAGATTAGCGTATTCGCCAAGCGATCCGCTGGGTGCTCGAAATCTGTATCCTTTTGTGCTCGCTAGGCGAGCGTACGAAATCATGCCTTGGGATCGGGTTCTTTACGCAAGTATTTCTGCACTTAAGAGCGATCAAGCCTGGAACTGGAAGGAACTTTTTGCGGAGCTTCGTGCCGAGGAAGCCGACAAGAAGCTACCGAAGGCCTCCGATATTAGGAAGGATTTTGAACCGCCGAAACAAGTAACTGCAAAATTTACTCGTCCTGAATCTGGGAGAGCCACGCCAATTCGGAATACGCCTAATGGGGATATCGTCACAATTAGCTGACGCTACTGTTATACTAACACGGTACACAGTGAAAGGTCACCAGTTTGAGACATAATTTTTTCATGTTTCTGTGTATGAGTGTTAATACATCTATCGCTATGATGTAAAAGAGCAGAACCAATTAACATCGAAGCCTTATAGTAGGAGGTAGCTCGTGCTATATAACTATACTGTTTGAAAAAATTCCTGACTTCTGACCAGTCATGTTTTGGATTATTGGATTAACTTGTTGCTGCACTGCAGTACAACAATTAACATGTTAATTCAAAACCTAAGTTAATCGGTTTAAATAGTTGACGGATTGAAACCCTTTCATACAGTGAGAATATTAAACAGATTTCTGCAGAAAGGTCGGAAGTTCCACGCCGATTGTAAATTTCCAGCTTTACTCACAATTGCCAAGCCAGCCATGTTAGTTCTCGTTGTGACATTTGCAATATGTCACCGCAATAGGCATTATGCAAAGCGCGATCATCCACACTCTTTCTGCACTTTTTACTACTCTAGATAAAGTCTATAATCAAATAAATTCTTAGTGGTAAGTGAGCACACACACAACAACAACTACAAGATCTAACAATTGTAAGGCCATAAAATGGGGCATCGGCTTTTTTTTCTATTATATCACAGAGTTTTTGATAGAATGTACGAGAGATCACTGATCTGGTCAGATATTTAATCGCTTAACGTCATTTCTCCCTGATATTTATTCGGAGTCGTTAATGGTGATCAGCGGCTCAGTCGATCTTACGGATAGAAATCGCGAACTCAACCGGCAAAATAATTTATCACTCTGCCTTTGGTGCTTTGAATCTGAAAAAACGCATAAAAATGTGGGGTTGACGTGAAATGAAAACATTGTAGTATAAAGTTACTGTATTAGTCCGAAGGATTGCTCGCAGTTATCACAAATCTGATGCTTTATAACTGCATAAGAAAAATCATAGGAAAATCTGAAACAGGTCTGTGCATACGTATGCTGCAGGTTAATTTACAAGGTTCAAATTGTTTCCCAGAATATGGCAGCATGCTATCCTAAAACTTCCTTTGATTCGCATATATATAGGACACATACAGAGAAAAACTGTAGTTACAGATTTACAATCAAAGGCTATGCCTAATCCAAATATACAATAACAGTAAGCGGTGTTGAAGCTTGTAGTTCACCTTACCGGTCGAAAGTTGTTCACCAAAAACTTCTCCTCATCCCGGTTTAACCAGTGGGGATCATGATCAGAGTTGGTAACAAGCTCAGGTGGTGAATGGGCAATCACTTGCCGAAAAATTTTTAGCTAAAACATTTTTCGGTTTATTGCGGAAAAGTAAGCACATAAAAACGTTTTTCGGACAATTCTGTAGAAAATGCCAGCTTACGGAACATTAGAGAACGGGCACTACTTCTTAACTTATATAATTAAGTTAGGACAATATAGGTAATGCAAATTTAAAAAATTTAATAAAACATTGTACTCCTATTGTACAGTTTGTTGAGTATGTCGATAAATCATAATGAAATACAAAAAATAGTATTTCTTGATAACAGTAATTACTACGACGAAAATGTATGTCTTTTGTATTTACTACAGCTTAGGACAAAATGGTCGCATACCCAACATCTCCACATTCAGTACGAATGCAGTGCAGTACACTGTACGGCTAAGTTCAAAATATCCGGTTCGTACAAGTGCACTGCACCGCATGCGTACAGAATGCTGGGCATGGGGCTATGCGACCATTTCGTCCTACATTGTATATGCAGTGAATTACCATTGTTTTTGAAATCTTGATAGGATTTGCCATTACTGTCCACTGAATCAACTGGGTGCAAGGGGGCGTCGTTAAAGAGCCATAATACCGAAAAAATTGTCGCTTTTTGGGCAAAAATTTTAGAAGTGTGAATCCAGGCACATATACTTGTTTCGTGGATCCTGAAATCCAGATAAGCTTAAATTTAAAAGACAACCCAGATGTCTTTCGCGACACTTACGATATTTCACCGGAATAATCATAATCACTTTTAGAACAAATTTTGTGGCTTTTACTTTTGCGGAATTAGCTGCAATTGTAATTAATTTCTAGCACACAATAAGCCTACGTGTTAACTGTGAATCTCCACTTTTGTGGCGGAATCGCATTTAAATGCATAAAGAAGAATCGCAATTAGTGTCGCTTGTGCTAGATTTTGAATCTGGGGAGTAAGCCGCGCCCTGCACCTCCGATCGATTTTACATCCGTTTATACGCGACGGAAACTGCTAATTGATTGGTATTATTGAATTCTTATTTGGACATGAAATAACGTTTGGATGCGAATGGTACAGTAATTAAATTTGCTGGTTTGAAAATTGTAAGTTTTCAGCTAGAACTTCGAACCTCTAACAATTACGAACACCAGTTACCGTATATTAACGATAAAAATAAAGCTATGGCAATAAAAATGTGCAATTTAAAATCCTTATTACTTACAAAAAGTTTTAAATAAGCTTTTTGTCTGCACCAAGGAAACAACTATGTATTAATACTGTAATTATAGGAAACGGTTTTCAAATGCTTAAAGCATTAAATGGCATGGATTTGCACGTACTTTGCAAAAGTCCGTTTAACACGGGTAACGTTTCTTCGCATAATAATATCACAACACCAAAATCTTCTTACACTTTTATACTTTTTATGTGTCAATGTCACCAATATGATTAATGGTTTTTTGTAAAAAGCATAGCTTACTAAGTTACAATTAGGTATTCACAGACCACAAGAAAATACTTGCCATTGCGGAAATATGTGTACATGTTCTCTTAAAATCGCTACTCTATGTTCGCGCAAAATACCATAAATGCAACAGCCAATAAGTTAATATTTACAAAGTAAGCCGAAAGTTAAAATCAAAAACTATTATTCACACTCAGTGTCATGGTCTGGCAAAGTACTAAATATAAAATGCATTTTGAAATAAGAAATTATTATTAATAAAGTAAAAAGCGATACCGGTAGGTTATTCAATGATGCCTTAATATCGCCAACAGCAACGCGTAGTAGCTGATCCAGCTGATTAGTTGTTCTCTGGTTTTATACCGTCCGCAACTATTGATTGCGAATTCGGCATACTGCGATGTGATGTTAATAATTGTTTTTGTATACTAGTAATGAGTTTCAATAATGAAAATTAAGAAAAGTAAATTTGTATAATTATTACAAAACACGTACGTACTACCGTACTTGTAATTGCAAGTACGGTAGAAGTTAACGTACGACGTACTTCCTATTACAAGTACAAAAAAGGGATTACCACTTTCCCGAACCGACTGAGCGGCTTCCACCATGCTGCGTATTTCCTGCAGCTTTTCCTGCTCTTCGGTGCGATTGACATTGTCATCTACAACATCTGCAAAGATGCCAACCACTGCCACTTTATACGGACTGGAATCACTGGCGTTCCGGACATGTACCAAGTGCAACTGCAATCAAATTTACATTATCCTTGTATTTTTTGCCCTGCACTGCTGTATATGTTAAAAGACAGCTAAAACCTCTATTGGGAATCGCCGTCCGTTTATGGCATGCTCTGACCCATAGCTGTCATTGGATCCCCAATGATAATGAAACTGTCGAAAATAATATTTTCCATTTTCCAATCCTCCGCTGGTAACGTATGGAACAGCATCAAAATCGGCAGTGAATTGAACTAAAAATTGTTTATAATGTACATGTAATACCGCACTAACCATACTACACATACTACACAAGCAAATTTCACACAAAATAACACATTGTATTTATCTCAATTAACTTGTTAAATCTTTTGTACGAAAAATGAATTCAGTGATACAACAAATTTAGAATAACACCATAAAATATCAGAACTACTACCAAATAACAAAATTGTCGGAATGTAAGATAATTGTATGGGATAGCATGGCGTATTACACAGGTTAATTTTGATGCACGCCAGTTTTATTTGGGAGGAAGGTCGGTACTAATGACTGTAATTTGTAAATGTACGTAAACAATAAAATTATAATTTTGTTTTGGCATGTATGCAGCATAAAGCTTCGGGATTAGGGGTCAGTATTTAGCAGCACTCGTATAGCCAGACACAAAGGTAATCAGATCGATATCCAGTGTCTCTCCTAACAAACTGAAAAAACTAATATAAATGTGAACATCCATCGTTAGTACCGGTGTGCCCATTGTTGGTAGCCGTCCATATACTGTCTCTTGGTCTTTGAGCGTAATTGATGAACTCGACTTCCGTCAGCAGCGAATTGTTAACTATGTACCGGCTGTCGAAATTAATTGGTGATTGATGACTGCCGTCGCAATCGACATACTTTTTCCCCCATTCCTTCGGAAGCAGCTCTGTGAAAAGTTTGCAAATTGCCGTGTAATAGCAGCGTAAATAACTTGTTGGTAAAATTTTTTTAATCTATCAGAAACAATAAAAAAAAATAAAATGCCAATAACGTTATAACTGATAATTCAATCGTAGTACTTGTAACTTGCAATAATTATAACGGAAGCGGCAAGCGCGATAACAACTCACCTTAACACTCGTATTGTGTAAAATTAAACGCTAGTTTTGAACTTTTGGTGGCTTATGCGCGCGCTTCTTCTCAAATGTTAACGCAGCGCATAAGATGTTTACGCATCTAATCTTCCATTTAATAATTAATCAAAAAAAACTTTGCTAATCTGCTAAAGCTTCCAATTTAACAAATCCCTGAGAACTTATTTCTTCAATCAACTGTAGTTTACGTCCACGCTATACACAGTTTACGCTTTTTCCTGCAATTTCATCGCATATACGTTGTTTTCGGCGATTTCGTACCTTTAACTGACTGAATTATTCCATAGCCCCATGAAGAATGTCGATTCGTGTTGTCGCCTTGTATGTCTGTGTGCTCGAGGCTGGAAAAGATTACTCCAGGTGGTAGCCAGTGGAAGACCGGAAGAGTGACCAAGGCTACGAAGACGCCCAATGGGAGCACAACCGCCAAAACAATAATACAGAATGTTCGCACTGACTCCATCTCGGAAATCATTCCCATAATAGCAATCAGGCATCCGATACAAATTAAGCAGCTTTTCACAAACTAAATTTTGCTGCAAGGAATATCCTAGTCTATAGCCCAGATTTTGCTCCTTAACGTTTACAGAGCGAGGATACTTCCCGCGTAAAGCGCAGACTAAAATATCAGCCTTTTTGCTGCCGTACGCGTTTTCGCGTCAAGCGTTGTTGAAAGCGTGAGTACGATACTAACAGTCATTTTAAACATGAAACAGGCAACAAACAGACGCGACGTACCTCTATCAATACTTGTAGTCTAAACCCGTGCAGTCACATTTGACATCGCGCGATGTCAAATTGTCAGTCTGATTTAACATGGTCATCAACTTTGGACAGTTTTCCTTCTTTCCTGGATGTGGTGTAAGGAAGTAAATATTTGTACGTTGTACGTAAATGAGAGGCTGACTAAATTATGAAGTTCAGGGATCCAGGCTTTAATTAAGGTCCAGCCAGCTACATTGATAGCCCATATCTGTGTTGAATGTGTGTGTCTGTAGATACCGGTTACGGTCATCATTATAATCTGCAAAATTACTTACAATTAAAACAGAACGATGTGAACGTTCGCCTACAGTAATTTAATTCCGCCAATTAATGCTAAACTAGTTCAAATGATTATAAAACAAGGGCCGGCGAAAAGTGGCGGTTTAATGCAGTACTTCTATGAAGCCGTACAGAGAAAATACTTACTCGAGCTCGTAATTTAACATAATTACGTAGTGTACATATGGTCATATCATTGTTCAGTAAGGGTAATCAATCCTATGAGAATTATCTCACTGATGTTTTGCCTGAAGTGGGGCACAACGCTCCGTTGCGCGCCCGTGAAAGATAACGCGAGTTAGTCACCACAACATTCTCAAGCCGAAAGCTAACGGCTGCGCTCATTGGTCCGCTACGTGATCCACAGATGAATTACAAAACGCAGCTTCGAAGCTGCGTTTTCTATTTCACATACACATTAGTCCATTACATGACGATGCCTTCCCGACTGTTGCCGGGTAAACTGTTGGGATCAAAGTCCACTGAGATAACGCAAAACAACCATTACCGTGGTAGCAGATGAACTGCCATGACGATAACTATGAACGCGACGTGAAGTTATCTATGTGGACCGAGCTGGCATCTATGTCAGAGTGCTGTGCCGAAATGAAAAGCAAGCCGGGACTTGCTTTTCATTTCGGATAACGTTTTCAAAGTTGTGTGTGTGGCCTATTTAATACGGCAAATCACAGTTGTTGCGCTTATCTCAATGGACTCTGATCCCAACAGTCAAACCGTCAACAGTCGGGAAGGAATCTTGATGTAATAGACTATTCACCTCCGTTGTGGTGCTGCTGGTGCATAGCCAACCGAGCTTTACACAGTGGTCACCGGAACCCGTAACATATAGCAAATATTAAAGCATTCTAATTGCTAGTTTGCTAATATAATGTGGTCAGGTATTAATCCGTATTAATAATTTAGCCTCACTTATTGTGATTGAAAAGTTGTTACTAGTTGTTGTTATTAGACTATTACTGATTGTTAATTTAGTAATTACGATTAGTAATTAAAGTAATTATTTTTAGTGATTGCAATTATCAATGCAATAATTGTAATATTGTGTAGGTTGCGTTACTGTAATTAAGTTTAATTACATTAATTAATAACGCGTATTAATTAGCTAATTTACTTTGAGTAAATGGATATATTCTTTTCTTCAGTTAAGTTATAAATTATTACATTAATTAATGACACCTCAAGCATGTGGATTAAAACGCGCCTGCGGCCCTGCTGTACAATTCGTTTGTGTGTACGCAGCACGATTCATTTAACAGTCAGTGCTTGCGTTTTCTGTGGTGATCCACTGCTTATTACTGGTCCAACGCATTTGTATTTTTTGCTGTGTGTCATCCATCGGTGACGCATTCTGCTTTCACATTTTATTTTGCGATATCTTTCTTGAAAAGATTAGACAGGATTGATCGGGCCTAGTGTCTGTGGATTTCAAATTCGCTCATATTATAGAATGCGATAAGACATCGCACCTTAACCTTTTGCTCCTGTTTTCTGCGGAAGAAAGATTTATGGTGGGTCTTGCATGGTATTTACAAATGATTCTCGAACTAACGGCAAGCAGCGATTATTACACATTTAACTACAAGTTCGGTAAGCAGTTCCGGTGAGAAAAGTGGAATTCAGAGTACACCAGTAGGTCAGTATCAACATCCTTTCGAAATCATTTCAAAAACCTCACTTGTCCGATAAGGTTGGAAGGTGACATATTTATATTTTATAACAAGTTACAAATGCTTAAGAAGAAGTTATACCATTATTAGGTTTTGAAAAACTGATTTTTTCAAATTGCTCATACAGCAAGAATACTGTCTTATCTGCAATCATGAACAATATGAGTTCAGTATGGCGAGTTGCAAAAAAGTTATCAATTTTTTTCGATTGTCACCCATGATAAATTTGGCGGACTGGCGATCTTTCTGCCCTGCTGCCACCTGCGGTCAGAAGCGTCCAGCTGAATGACCACAGCTGACAGCAAACAAAATGCGCCATTGAAATAACATTCCAATGGCGAGTGGGATAGGAAACAGACCAAAACTTTGTGTAGTCAGTAAGGACACGAAAAGATAACAAAGCGTAAGACAAAGGGAAGACAGCACACGGATCCGTGAGCGCTCACTGGTGGCCACTCTCTCCTTATATGTGCAAACTGACTGTGGCGGCACTGCAGGCGCAGAAGCGAAAGTTTCGTGGAAAATGCAGAACAAAGAAAGTTCTTCGCTGAATACTGATCGATTTGACACAGGAAATTCGTAAAATCAAAAATTAAATCCTAAAGAATCCGAAAATTCTCAAATTTGATCAGTATGTAGAAAAATCATTTGCTAACAACTTTAGGGAGGCTTTTGTGGATAACTGTTTTCTAACTCGCTACACAAAAATAGACTTCCGGTGCACAAAAACGCAAGTTTTAGACGTATTTTAAAATTTAAAAACAAAAACTCTTCTCAGAGTTTTTCCTATTCTTGTATACACCGGTTCTACGGTAAATCTGAATTTTTCCGAAAACAATGAAATTAGTTATTACATTTTGAAAATTCAGAGTACAAAACACCAGATTTTTTAAGTTTAACAGATGCGAAGATTTTTTTCTCTCATTAAGATGTGTAGCAGAACCATTTTGGGTGTTAGAAGCTGTAACGGTTCTGCTATCAACGTTGTGCTCATCGCGCACAAGCGATTCTGCCGCTTAGACCACAAACACGGCATAACTTCTCGTTAAATAAAGGTGAGTAAGCTTACAGTCATTTCAACAGCAGCAAGAAAAAATTGCGTATAAATGATAAAGAAAATTTTGCGTATAAATGATAATCTTCCCCAGTTCCCTTTATGGACGGACGTACTGCCTCGTAGAACATTGTGCGACCGGAAGTCCCGGCTTTTTATCAGTGATGGCCGTGTAAAATGCACAGTTGCGCGACGGCGCGTTGCTCGGCTGACAACCTGCCGCAGCCAACGGCGAATTGCAACAAGGATAAATTGTAGAGCAAGGCGCTGATTGGTTTAGCGTGATCTCTGTACTTTTTCATTACATTCATCGGTGCTCCGCAGTCTACCGATACATGAAGGCCCTGAACATTAACCGGAAAGGCGAGCACCCTGCCTCGTATGCGCTGCAGTTTGGATTAGTACGGAGGCGAAAAAGCTAGAGTCGGGCGACAGTAGAAACCTCAAATCCTGTAAAAGACCTTCCTGACGTTCCTTGATCATCCCTCTACCGTTGCATTTAGGTTTTATCTGTACCTGTACATTAAACCAAATTAAAATGATTGCTCCGTCATTCGCTCTCACTCGCAGCGCCATCGCAGCTCGTCAGTTCTCCGTCCTGGGCCGATCCCTCACGTCAATGAGCGTGGTGCCGCGGACTGTAAGTCTGATGCAGCTGGAAGTGATAATCTGATACTTTTGACAAAAGCACTCAATTCTTCAACAGGGTAAGCAAACGGAATTACCATCCGTATCGCTGGTGCCAGCTCACCGCACCTTCAGCAATCCCCAGTTTAGCCAAGTATTGCGATCCCTACAGACCAGTGCTGCACGGATGGATATCGACTCCGCTGCAAAGTTTATCGGAGCTGGAGCGGCCACAGTAGGAGTAGCCGGATCAGGTAATGGAAAGCAGCTGCAGAGTTTCAGTTGTTGAAGCTTTATTAGGATTGAGGCTTTTATGCAAACGGGCGGCAGAGGAGCTTTCCGACTTCGCGGCACAGTTTAGTTCAGCTTGATTGCGAGAGGCTGCATCTCATTTCTTGGTTTTTATCATCGTTTAGTTTCAGCCTTTTCTTGAAACTGCCATACTCTTTAAATAGGTATAATAAATAAAAAATTTCCAAGTGAATTTGCTGTTGTAAAAATTAAATGGGAAGTCAAACCCATGTTAATCAGCGGGGTGATTCGTTGCGAATAGTTGAGTACTTCTGCGGTCTTTCGAAATTGTCTTAATTTTGACCGGTTTAAGCAGCTTTTCAGCTGCAAACCGAATATTTATATGCATTATAAATGTTAAAGTGGCTTGGTAACGTCGCAGCGGTAGCTTTTGTGATGTTTGACCTGGTAGAAATAGTGAGGTCTTCGCTGTTGCGTATGCTGCTTATGCGTACGTCGCCCTGTTCCGTATTACCATAGAAAGTAAAAGTCTACAAATTTATTTTCTATGGTATTACGTTAGACTTGGAGCGAACCATAAGGTTTTGTAATAATATACGCGCCTTTAAAATGTGCCTCTAATTTTAAAATCATATTTCATTTCCAGTAACGATAATCTGAACGTTTGATGATCCGTTGTTGCTTTACTTGCGGTGAAATTGTGATGTGAAATAATTTTCCGCGTGTACAATAAGCAAACTTATTAGAAATTAATCCGAATAGTTCTGTGTTGATGTTCACTAATTAAAAAGTGATTTAGCTATTGAAATGAGCCTTGTTTCGTCATTCGTGACTTTTCTGTAGGAGCTGGAATCGGAAGCGTCTTTGGAAGTTTAATCATCGGATATGCGCGCAATCCTTCCCTGAAACAACAGCTCTTCTCCTATGCCATTTTGGGTTTCGCTTTGTCTGAAGCCATGGGTCTGTTCTGTCTGATGATGGCTTTCCTTTTGCTGTTTGCTTTCTAAACTACTTGGCATGTGTTGTTTCAAATAATTCAAGCCGGCTCTGTGGCTGGACATCTACAAGGTTCTTCGGATGACTTTAATTTAAATGATACACCACCAAGTAACGCCTAAACGATGTTGATTATAAATGGGAATTCGTGGTTTGTGTCACTTTGTGTGCAGTTGCAGTTAGGACGTACGTGCAGGCTAACATTTTAGTGTTTCATTTGTCTTTGGTTCCGTTTGGTAAATAAAAGTGATTTTCAACGGCGGCTTTTGATTTTCATGTTTCATAACTGACATCGGCCAAATATTTTCTTACTATCAGTTACGCAGTTACCAATAATACCAAAATGGAATACCGTCTGAGAAGTGCTAGTATAGTAATTATTTCTGTATTATTACGCCTTTGATCGATAAATTGTGCTTGAGTAAAATAAAAGCAACACTCGACAACTGCGAAAACATTCGAGCTTTACTGCCTGTAGAAGTATTCTATTCAAAGTTGTACTTTGTAGCCTAAAAAACCAAACAAACAGAATATAAAAGCGCAAGCGACTTAGAGATCTCAGGAGTTTAGGGAATGAAAGGAAAATTTGAGATCATCCACTTGGGCACTGTCAAAATTTACGTATATCACAAAAAAGCGCAACGTACTTGTATATCACAAGAAAGCGCTAAATAACAAATTAGCGGCATTATTAGCCGATATACTGTCACGTTCAGGTCAAAAATGCACAACTTTCGAGTGTCATGATCATTTCTTAAAAGAACTAAATAGTACTCAATTACTAATCGTAAGTAAAATTTTAAACAACCACGGAAATCGTAAATTAAACAACCGTTCCACACGGCAATGTGGATCGGACAGTTACGGAAAGTTAAAAACAAAACTCATAAAACAGGATCAGCCTTGCTGCCAGCGCCATCGGCAGTATCAACCTTACAAAAACGTTTTACGGAGCGAAGCCTTAATGCAGAACTTTCTTCCAAAATTTTCTCACCAAGTCTTGGTTTGAAACACCTGATACTGATATTCTATCCCGTTTTCGGACTGAACATCTTGTGGAAGTCGAGAATCCACCACCTGTTCCATTTTGCTGAGCTGCTCTAAAGGAAAAAATGCATCGCATTCGAAATTCCCGTGAACCTTCGTAAGGTACACGCGGTGAAGATGCGCAGATTCAAAGGCATGCTGATAGAGCGATTGTCCGCCAATAATCCATACGATATCCACTTCGTCCACCAGCGGCGCCGTGCAGAGCAGACTCAATGCGTCTTCCATGGAACTGGCCTGATATGCGAGTGGTGCCAGATCCGTTAAACTGTTGGTCACGACAACGTTAATGCGATTCTTCAACGGACGATTTTTCTCCGGAATGGAAAACCACGTTTTCCGACCCATGATAACAGCGTTCTTTTTGTTCGGCTGCTCACTTTCCGTGGTTAATCGCGCGAACTGCTTCATTTCTCCTTTCAGAGTCCAAGGCAGCCCTCCTTTGTTGCCTATACCACCATTTTCGCAGGCGGCGACGATCAGGTTGAACTTTTTTGCATGATGCGCCATCACTGTTGTGCTGATAAATACAACAATCGGTTTATTGTCCTTGCCAAAATGGTTAAAGGGATCCGCAAAGCGCTATGAGTAGTTAGCGAAGTTACTTACCATTAGCGAAAAAATTTAGAGGTGCAGAAACTGAATTTCATCCAAGCTCCTAACAAATGAGCACTACGTGATTCTGTAATATACAGTATGTACGGTGATTTTAATGACAAACTTATTTGTCACTAAAATTGAAAAAACTCGTACATATTTCGAACTTTGTTTTCGAAAAATACGATTTGATACTGTAATACTGTATACTAAATTTTTATTAATTTTATAATTTTATTACATTAAAAACTGATTTAAAGTGCAAAGTGCAGACACTCGGTCGGTTTTTCGACGGTTCGGGCTTTTGACGAATGGTTCAACTTCAAACCGCATAAATAAAAAACAAACAAAAACGTGATTCTGTTCACTATTGGTAAAATTCTTCATTTTAAAGGATTTTGGAAGAAAGGAATAATTATCCAGACTGTGAGGGATCGATTGTTTACTTCCTGCCAGTTCCTGGCCGCAGCAAATGCGAGGATTGATGATCGTGAAAATTATACTTTTGTATATTTTCCGGTTTACATCTTCCTTTTGGTCCGGGATAGTTTGCCTGTTGACAGTGATGTCTGATTGTCCGTCATCCATAATACTTGAAAGCTATCTACCATACCTACGATGTCTGTAGAACCAGAATCGCCCCAACTGGGAATCACTTCGGAAGAATTTGAAATTTACCAAGTGAGATTGTAAAATACCAGAATTTGTTTATTTTTTGGACGCATTTTTTCCTTTGTTTCAGAAACAATTTATCAAGGAGCGTGATGAGAAATACGCTTTACTGGAAAAGGTTCGGAGACTAGAACAAGGTTAGGACCTTTAATCAGTTTAATGTCCTTTATTATTATTATTATCGAACCAACAGTAGCCAAACTCCACTTGGGAGACTTTTAAGGCTATTGGAATTTATTTTTGGTATATTGAAAATTTTTATACTTTTTTTTGGTTTGATTTTTTATTTTTATGAGATAAAAGTTACTCATCTTTGAAGCTTGTTGGCGTGATATGGCAGATATTCTAACATGAATTTAACTATTCTGTAACTTGCCTAACTTACGCTTGCGTGATCTAAATTTTATGGTAAACGGGAGAAGCAAAGTAATCAGATTAATTTTGTGGTTTACAACTTGTACACTGCAGTAAATTGATGTTTCACTCGTGGTTATGCTTGCAGAAAACGCTCGGCTGTCGGTCGAGAAACCTGATAAAGAATTTGATGTGAAAATTTTCAGGGATAAGGTACGTTCGTGTGATTTATCGATCTTATCTCGGTCAAGATTGTAAAATGCCGTTTGATGCTCATTTTCCCTCCTTGGCTCATGCTCCATGGCTTACGGGGATTCAGGCTTATAATTTTTTGTATATATTTTGCAGGTTTGCGTTACAACACTGAAACCCATAGTCTCAGACTAATTCTGTATTTAATATTCTTATGCTGGATGATTTGATAAATTGCACTGTTGGAAGTTCGTAATTAAAATCTTGTTCAGATTGAAAAGGTTTCTGGCTGTGTTTCATGGTTTGTTAAATTGATGCTTTGATTTCTGTTTCAATAACTTAATAATACCACTAACAATTTTCAGGTCATTTTCGGTGCTTTCAGAATTCAGTGTTTAAATTTTTAACCATTTTAAATAGTGTCTGCTACGTTGGCTTATTTCTTGATGACCAGACTTTTGCCGAATTAAAGGACTAATTGCGTTTGTGCTTTTAGCTTCAAAAGCCACTTCACAGTTTACTATCCCGAACCAAAAGGGATTCGGAAGTAGAATCCAATATCCAGCAAGAGAATGAAGCACTTCAAAAACGTCTGCACAGTCAAGAGGAAGATTTTCAGCGCCAGAATTTTCTTCTCATGCAGGAATTGCAGATCGCCATTACGAAAAATGAGGAACTAGAAAAACGGTTTAAATCTCTCGTAAATGTCGGCTCGGAAGGCAATGTGTCGAAGGTGGCCGAGTTGGAAAATGAAATACGAATACTGTTATCCGAATTGTCAGCTTATCGAAAACCGATCCCACCGTCTGCATCCATGGGGGATGGACAGGCGGATGATAACAGTCAGTCTCTCGTAGCGGATTTACAATTCCGAATCGCTGCTGCTACCGAAGAGAAGTCCCTCCTGCGCGAGCAGATGGAGTCGGAAAGGGTGAGAAAGCGAAATGAATGTTTTATACGATTACTACCCCTACGTTAGTGGACGGTATATCAGTTTTTCGTTTCTTTTAGCTTACTGCGCAAAAAAATTTGGACGAGCTGGAGAAGACCGTGACCAATCTGAAAACCGATCTCCAGGCGAAGCAGTCTACTGTTCAGCTGCTGCTTGAAGAACGGGATCAGATTCAGAGAACGTTTAATGAGCGTTTGAATGCTGTGCTGACCGAAAAGGAAAATCTTCGGCTGGTTTGCAAAAGTGAATTGGACAAAGTTCGACAAGAAAATTTCACAATGCGACAGGTACGCCGTACTATCCTAAAAGTTGTATGTTTACCGTATGTACCTCCTTATCTGTGCGAATTAAATTAACCAAGGATTTGGTTACCGTTTATCTCTAGACGGTTGAAGAAGAAAAGGTTATGGCAAGGGCACGCGTGGAAGATATTGAGCGCCAAATGAAAGACTTGTTAGAACAAATTGATGTAACGGGACAACAGACCAAGCGAGATACCGATGAACTTTTAAGCGAGCACAAAAGGCAGATTGCCGACCTAACGGAAAACGTGGAAAACATAACAGCTGAAAACAATTCTTTTCGAACTGAAGCCAAAAATCGCGAAGAGGTTCTGAAACATCTAAATGAGGAGGTTATGCGACTGACCACCGGTGAAGCAGAACTGTCTAAGTTAGCCGATAAACGGAAAGCGACCATTGATGATCTGAGTATTCACCTGGATAACCTCAAGCGGCAGCATGAAGAAGAAATTCACCAGAAGAAGCAGGAAATTGCTCGGGCCAGTGAGCCATTCCGACTTAAATTAGAATTAGCCTCGGCGGAAGCATCCAAGGTTCCCAATCTGACTGCAGAGGTTGAATCCCTGCGGAAGGAAGCGACTGAACTGCGTGATCAACAAAGTAAGCGTTAATATTTTAATCCGTGGTGTTTGCTTGATGTTGTAAATAGTAAATACCACCGTTACAACTTTGCGAAAGATATTAATGCCGTACTGTATCTTTGAGAACGTTTTAATTTGGCTGCTAGTATACATTCTAAAACATGACTGAGTTCTGCCGCATCTAGTTATAACTACGATTTGTGTTTCTTAGGACGATGGCAGGAACAAGTTGCAGAGGTGAAACTAGGCTGTGCGAATGAAATTGCCGCACTTAAAACTGATCTCAAAACGGTAACTGATGATTTGAATGGTCTCCGAACTGATTCGTCCGAAAAGATTACCAGTCTAACCGAAGCGCTCCGTGCCATGACGGAAGAGAGAAACTCTCTGGCCACTCGACTGGATACTGAAAACTCTTCGCTACAACGTCAGATTGGCGACAAGGCGGAGGAACTAAAGATTGTTGAGCGGAAAAATACTGCTGTTGTACGGGACCTGCAGAAGCAGCTGCAGGCCGAAAAGAAACGCTTGGAAAAAGTTCAGAATCGTTTAAGTGAAGTACTACGGGATGGAAACGTCCGGGTAAAGAGTGTGTCGGAGGATTCGGCTGATTTTACCGAACGGGATGAAACTGGAAGTGTTTCTTCATGGAGTTTTGTGTCCTCGAAAAGTGGTCATAAGAAACGCGCATCCGATGTTCAGTCTGAGTTGTCTAATACGGAAACCGAGACGGGTCTAGCATCCACTATGACGGATCAGGAGATTCGGGATCTGTTAAATCGTATTACCAAATTGCAACAAGAAAAAGCGGTTTTGATAGAGCGGGTTACGATGTTGGAAACTGGGCATGCCACCTTGGCGGAAGAACTACTCAGTAAATCAGCAGTCATCAACCGATTTTTGCAGACCGTTTCAAGTGAGAGAGCAAGTCAGATTATGTTTTGCATTATTCTTTGCCCTTTCAAAGTGCGCTCACATTTCTAATATGTTGCAGCCAGTGGCAGTGGTCAGCAGCCGAAGGAGCAGGAAGTGTTTTCGTTGCGTAATGTCGTGGAACGACTAGGAAAAGAGAAATCGAATGATATGGAGACGCAAAATCTTCGACATCTTCTTGAAGAAACTCTTACAAAAAACATTCACTTGCAAAAGGTATTTGCATTCAGTTACTTCAAGCATCATGTGAACGATTTCAATGGTTACTGTCTGTTAGCTATTCTGTTAGTGCCACCGCCCTGTTCGATCAATTTTTTTGACATACCGGTAATCCCTGCAGCAGTTTGACGAAATTTGCCTAACCTAGTAGAATTATAAGAAATGTTTTTCAGTCTTTGTATGACGTAGTCAGAAAGTAGTGATATTTGCATTTTTAATAATATAACTATTAATACATATAGAAATTGTTAAATTATTCATAGCATGCTTTCGCGAACAGTCAGGTTTCGTTATTTACTATTATGGCATGGTTATAGAATATGGAACTGCTGACTGAAGAATTGGATCGATTACGTGGCTCTTCTCCTTAAAGTGCTGAGGCAACATTCTGAATAATCTGATTGGAAATTTAATTAGATTTTTGAAGCTTTACTTATTTTCCTGCCATTTATGTCGAAAGTGAGATTTCTCCTAGTTTTGGTCTGTTTTCGTGTTTTGTACAGACTGTGTTGTTATTGGTCTTTCTGTACAAATATACAAGCCGATGAAGCTGTGTTCAAATAAAACCGGTTATGTTTTTGTCATTTTTCGAATTTTTGTAAATTCCTCTAGGGCATGCGCTTGCCTCTTGACTGCTCGTCATTCTAAAGCACATTGTCAGTGTTACTAATGATGAAAACTATCTAAGAACTGCAGTCGCCAGTAGTATTTTGTACTCGATTACAGTACAGCTGGAATTTTTATTCATGTCAGTATTTCTTTTTTCCACGGTGTACCATTATGAGCACCTCAAGTCCAAATCGCAAAGCTGATCCTGTTGTGGATGCAAATTCAACCGAACGCTTTCGAGCTCTGTCTCCACCTGGATCGACCATTCTAAGCACATCTACTTATGAGTACAAAGATCCATCGCAGAGGCAGGCGGAAGCGTACAAAAAGGCACTGGTAAGCCTGATGTTTTGCTTAGAAGTAGTCATACGGCATTATTCGACTGCTTAGAGGTTAGCCAAATTATTCCGTTTATCCTCATGACGTCAAACCATCGTCATGACTTTCTTCTGGAGCGGGGATGTGCATTTTCGCAGCTCTTAGTGAAGGAAACACTGCACGCGTTGACACTACATTTAACGACTCACAATCTTGCACTCTGTACAACGCATGTTGTTTGGAAATCACATGCTTTTTCGCTGTTTCAGGCTGTACTTCGACCGCGGCGGAAAGAGAAACTGATATTGAAACCACCCTTCCCTGTAACCGGAAGCGAAGTCTACGCGTCAAATAAACCGGATTTATTACAATCAAACCGACATGACAGCCAGAAGGTCGACAAGAAATTTGTCACTCTGTCCAGCATCACTGAGCCGGATACGGTTAACGAAACATCCACACCACCATCGGCCGATAGTAGCACAGTCCCTGAACAACGCTGGTCACACACCATTGTAGCGGACATCCATGAACCAGTGATCGACCGAGTATCCACGATTACGGCAGATTCCGATTTTGGATATGAGATCGAATCGATGGACAATATGAGGCAGCTATCGGATGCTGGTGAACTGTTGCCCACTTCCGACTCACGGACGGTCAAGGATGACTTGCGTTTACAGCCAGGGTATTCCCGGGCGGCAAGTGCTACCTCGGATTTGGCAACGGAACCGACCACCCTTACGGTCACCCCCAGTCCGCGACTTTCAGTTGCTTCTTCGGTACATCAAAAAGCGCCTCCAGCAGAACAGAATGTGCAAAAGCGCACAGCAAAAACAATTGTTGAAAGCATGGAAAATATTGAAAAAGTTCCTTCTAGTGATCTCGCTATCCCGCCAGCCTATCGAAAAACCTATGCGGCTATGGAAAAAAGAAAGAAATTCTCGGATACTCCGAAATCCAATAGCTCAGAGTCTAAGGAATCGATGGACAAACGAAACAACTCTACGAAAGACATTGATTTCGAAAAACCGCGGCCCTCGATCGTAAAAGAAACAGACAAGAGAGAAGAGGCAGAAAAGTTAAAGTCTCTTCAGGTTGCTGATGTCAAAAAGAAAACGAAGGCCATGACATATTTATCAATAGAAGAAAAGGATCATAGAGTCAAACTGCTGGCGTCAGTCCCAGAGCACAGTGATATAACCGTAAAGGTCAACGGGCTGCCAGCCGATCACGATGGCAGGCCAGACAATTATTTCGGCAAAACCGACTCGGATTCGGGACTTGTTACATCGCCTGTGGAAGAGAATTTGCCTCAACTGTTAGAACTGTCCTCCAAGAATTTAAATGGCACCCACACTTCGGGAAAACCGGCATGGCCGACACTGGAGCCTTCACTGCAGCCTGAACTCTTTCCGGTCGTTAGGAACGAAATGCAGATGGCTGATATTCGGGTATGTCTTGCTGGAATGTGCTTGATAAATTTCTTGTTCATGATTTAGGTCATTCACAATAATCGTATAAACATTTTATTACGTATATACGTGAAGACTGTTGGCCAAATTTAATTGAATGTAGCCTTGTAGGCGATTTTGCGCGATTTGGTATCTGTCGTTTGTGTTTAGATGCCGTAATTAATTAAGGCGTATGCTGAAAATTCACGATTTACTGCTGTAAAGTGTAAGTGTAAATGTCGGTTTTCCTTACTCAGTTACGTTTTCGGCCGTTGATTTAGTGATTGCCCGGGAGGTTTCTCTCTTTTATTTACTGCTAGGAGTGCGCAGTGGCGCGCTGCACAGTGCTAGGTTGGCGTATGCATGAAATGACTAATATTACCAGCCTGAGACAGTTCATAAACTGGTGACAATTATTTGGTATTTTTAAACTGCTAGACATATATGTATATAGAAGTATAGCGCATTTGATTTGTAATCTAAGCGATCCCGCAGCTCGTCATTGCAGGCACGAGAGAATCATGCAGTTCCTTAAAAAAAGGGTGGTCTTATTATTTTATTAATTATTGCACCTGTAGCACTGGCTAGGGTAGGGGCCATAGGGAGTGGTTGGACGTACTGGCCGTTACTAACTATAGAAACTTTGATGGCGGATTTGCCTCAGGCGTGCGATAGATATTTGTTTCTGTACTTTTAAAAGCAGATAATGACTGACATTTAGCGTATTTACACGCCTAAGTTAAGTGCCGTTTTCTGTTTTCCATTTGTTACCGTTGAAGAGCGCTGCCTTTACATGGTGTAAAGTTTCGTTCTGCACTTTCAGGAACAACTGGATGACATGAAAACCGCTCTGTCACAACTGCAAAAGGACATTTGGCAGACGGGCAGTCGTCTCGCACTACGGCGTAAGTCCTGACGTATAATGAGAAGCTGTAATGCTTGCCGGTGAAAATTAAAAAAAAGTTATGGCCACGATCACAACTAATAACATGCATAACCGCTAAGACTAAGAGATAACCGCTTCCTAAGACTAAGAGATACTTGCTTGCTTGCATGATAAGAGTTACTTGCTTATAGTAGATTTCTTTTTTATCTGTGCTAACAGTGGTTCCACTTGATTTTTCCATAAATAAAATGATGCTAAAAAAGTTGTATAAAAGGTAGTCGTGTGGCAGAACTGTATTAAAACCGTGTCGCTTCGCAGAACAAAATCCGATGACAGGGCCCCAGAATCTCCGCCCAGCTTTTAACCGGAACCGGTCCGTTGTGGGCAGTCGAACCAGTCTCGCCAGCGCCGGACTTAACTCGCGACCGACATCCCCACCACCTCCTGTAGATCGTTCCGGCTCATCCAGCAAAAAACCCGAACCAGAAAAGGTAAAAGAAGCCCGAAGTCCAGTTGCAGTCGTGTGACTAGAAGTCTTGTCCCGGTTGCAGTTCCAGTTCGGTAACCTTTTTACGGAAAAAGTCCCCAAAGCTCAACTTGAAGCCCAAAAAAGCCGCAATCAAGAACTGGAACAAGAAAACCAGTATTTGCTCAACGAACTGCGCCGCTATAGAGAACAAAATGCGTCACAAGTTAACCTTATCCTTAGCAAGCTCAATGTTTTCCGCGCGAAAATCCTAGGAGAAGACTTGACCGACTTGGACGTTGCAGAGCCGGGAATAAACTTGGGTGTAGGCGATTAACCTGTTACTCTGAGTAGCGCTTAAGTGACTCTGAGTTACTCTGAATTTATTTGCGGAGTTATTTTTGATTTGCTGCTTGTAGGATGATGGAAAATACAGCCACGGAAGACAGACCTTTCCGTCCAGAGGCGAGCTAAGTGAGTGTCATACAGCCTCTTTGAAAAAAAAATGTTTTATAATTATTAAGATACATTACTAATGCATTTTTTGGAATCGCATTATCGCATACTGTCTTCATGGTGTAATCTTAAAGATGTATTAAGAATATTGCTTCATGATAGTTTGCTGATTACAGAATCGAGAGGGGCTCCATCGGATAGTATTCCTGTTGATGTCATGAGCGACCTTAAAGCCGACCGCGACAGACTGGCGGAGATATTAGCGTCTTTTCAAAGCCGAATGGATGCTGAAAAAGATGTTTTGAATGTGTTGCTGGAGCAAGTTAAAAGCAAAGAAAACAATGACAAAGCACAACAAAAAGTCACTACTCAGAACCTGGAAGAAATCTACCGAAAAATGGCCAGCCTGGAGCGGGTATGCGTGTTTTCGTTTTGTTTCTCAGTATTTAGAGTGGCGTTATCTAATTTTACGTTTCATTTGTATTTGCAGACACAAGCTATTCTTGCCGAAAATGTTTGGCGTCACTGACAACAAGGCTCGACCAATAATTACAAAAATAGTTAGTGCGTTAAAATGGCTACTAAAATCGTTCTCTAAGTTCATTTTGAATTTTCAGTGCTTTTAGCAGCATACGTGTATCTGCAGTTCCTTTGATGTTTCCAATAAATATCACCTCCAATGTTTATATGGCGTATAGAATTTTACGTAGTCATCTACAGCATTTTTGGACGTCCAAAACTTTTTCATGTCTTTCCGCTGGAATTGTTTCCATGTCTGCAGCGCTAGCCATTCACTGGCAATGACATCATCCGTAGGAATGGCATCCTCCAGATCCGCCTTCAACTCTTCAAGGAATTGCAACCGCATGGCCTTCTCGAATACGGAATGCGGAATGGTCAGGCATTCGACCGCGGAGACTGTGATGATATGCGCCCGTCGCAGATCCTCTCCGACGCCGAAATAGTCCCCTTCTTTCAGCTCTGTAATATGCAAGTGATGTCCTTCTAATTCGCTATGCCGGCTAAGAGATTGATGAGGCAACCATCGGCGGGGGTCGTCTGGCTCAAGAGCCTAGTAAAAGTAATTTGCCAGTTAAAATTGTGCCGGGAAGCATGATCGAATATTTACCGGCTGCTGAAGTTTATAAACTGCTTCATACATTTTTTTATTATACTCTTCAACCTTTTACTACCTAATCCGTTTTTAAATAGTTGCGTAGTATGTCATTAATCCATTACCAAGCGTTCGCTTGATAGCTGTAGCGTGCCTGACTGCCTAGAAATATCATTTTGAGAAAAACCAGTTGTAGTAGTACCTGATAAATGCAGTGCCTTTTATCGTTGTCCAGATAGCTTTTTTCGAAGATAACGTCTTTCACCAGTGCACAACGTCCTTTTTGAATGAAATATGTAAAGGCCGACTGCCCGCAAACATCCGTCAGGATAGCCTTGTTCTCGGGGAAAGCAATCAGCGAGGAATTTTCATTCAAAATGCGTAATTCAGAATCGGACCAACTTTCAAAAGTCTGCGCACTGCGCAGTCCGGCAAACCGGTCTTCCCAGATCGCCTCGAAGGAGGTTCGCAGGATTTCATCGAAGGGATCTTCGTCGACACGTAGCAGTTCCACGTCGCCCTGGGTACTTCCGGTGCTGCGACGTTCATCTTTGTTCAGCAGTTCAATTTCGCCGATAATACTGCCTGGTCCGCGACTGCCCAGCGAGTAGAAGTTGGTGCGGCCGGTGCGGGGATCGGTGTCGCTGGCTTTGAAGTTGACATTTCCTGATAAGATGAAGTACATTGAATACGGTTCATGGCCTTGGCGCAATCTAGTGGAATGAACCAGTTAAACACAATTTAACGGGAAACACATTTAAACTGGCATATTTGCGTAATTGCTTTAGGCAGCCTGCAGACTGTTAGGTGAAGGGCCGGAAATGATTTAAACCTGGAAACGCTGTCGTGCCTTATACTCTTTATCTTTATGCATAAACTCTTTATCTTTATGCATAAACCTTATACTCTTTACTCTTTATGCATAAACGAAGGAATAAGGAACTGATTTGCGAAATCTGTCTATTGTGTACCGATTTCGGGTAATTTATGCGCCGGATAATCTTCTGCTATCGACACATGTTTAAAAGGTCACACTGCGGACAGTGATTTAAAACATTCATGTTCTGTGGCTACCGTAGAGTAGAAACAATATACTCACGAAATATGAGTACGATCATAATCGAGCAGCAGTAATCAGAATACTGTTTCTATGCATTGTTTTTTAACGTACGAGGATCAAATACGCTGACTAAACACCGGAAAATTCTTTTGCGCATCGAATACCATGTACTTTTAACTTTACTGTAATTTATGTACTACAGATATTGTACACAATATGTAGTAAATACGCTTTAGTAAATGATACTCCTGCAGTGTTTTTAGAACGGCAAATTATTATAATTACCAACCTGTTGTCCTTGTCTAAAATAATTTGAATTAAACTGACACCTTTTCTGCAGTAGAGGTACGGCATATATAAGATTCCGGTTGAACCACAAAACCAAAATCGAATGTCAACAGATTCTTTTGCCGAAGAAGCAAGTAAACTGGTTTTTCGAGCTTACTGTTGGACCACATCGCAACACTAGAATTGTAATAAGCTGATTTTACGACCGGATGTTCCGTGAATTTGAATTTTTGATGACATATTTACAGTAAACGGTGCCGGCTTTGCATAGTGCATAACAAATAACTTCTCCATAAAAACGCACTTTGCGCAGACAATATCTCCGGGAACCTTGGTATATAATCAGGAAGGTCGCCACCATTTTCCAACTTACTGGTTAAGCGCGAAGGCAATATTATTATGATAAACTAGATAAATTACCGGGCCCTGACAAAATTCTTTAGTAGTAGTCTAGTACTGATACGAGAAACGTTCAGTAATGATCTTGGCGATCCTGTTGCTGTTAATACTGAAGTTCTCAAATTGTACCGAGAATTGTTATCCAAGTTTGTTATAAAATGGCAAAGTTCTGTATTTTTCTACTGACTATCGCAGTGATGCTGCTGCATTTTTCCGGTCTTGCCAGTGCACAAAGTCGATCATGTTTCGGACGTTCTCCATTGCAACCTTTGCGGCAGTGTTACCGTGGGATTTGCCCTATGAATGGCCTATACGGCTGTTGCCCACTGCCCAATAGCGATTCGCGATACTTGTACTGCACCGCTGTTTCGACATCGGGATCGAACCAGCAGGGCAATTGTCCGCTGAGTTCCGGTATGGCGGGGATATGTGTATTCGGACCAAATAACTGCTTATCCGATTCGGAGTGCTCCCCTGGGAAAAAGTGCTGCCCCGAGGGATGTGGCAAAACATGCCAGAATATTATGTAATCATGCAGTACTAAGATTTTTGATAACTGACTAACTTCAAACGACTTATGTCAGTGTGTTTACTGTCAACTGGTACTTCCTGTATGCTTCTAAAGAGTACGCAATATTCACGAGCATATATATAAGATATAAATACGCTTACATGTACATGCTTACATTCATGTTTACATTTTAACGCATTCGCTCTCACATTTTAACTGAAATGCCCGAAATTAGTAAAATACTATTTTATCAGCAAGTAAACTGTACATTGAAGCATTGGTTTTTTCGAAGTACTGGCTGCATTGTAGAGAATTTAATTTACTTTTGGTTTATGCGTCACTGAACAGAGGTCAACGTAGTAGTAATTAATTGGAAGCGTTAGTTAGTCCACAGTCGGAACACCTAACAAGGGAATCCCCCATGACTGATTGGGTTCAGTATCTGCATTAGTTAGTATATATATGGTATACCGTATAACTAAGCTTCACTTACAGTATGCGGCCATCGTCAAACGTGTCGTATCGAACCCACATCGCTAGGTTTTCCCGAACTTCCTGTGTAAACTTATCGAAGCACTGATACCGTTCCATGATTTTCAATATCAGCTGAATGTCTTCGGTCTTTCTGCCAAACGGATGTAGTCTAAGCGCCTCTTTTTCTTGATCTGTTAACCCACTAATAATGCGATTACTGGCAATGAAGTCCGCCACTTTGAAAAACGACGATCGCCGGTGCCCCGTTTCCTCGTCATGGTGTGTCGTCTCAAAGCCCTAAGTCTCCATGCCAAGAACATGTACATTAATCTCATTGTCATATTCATGGCAGTGGCAAAAATGTTATAGTGCGTAATCATCCTAGTCTATTATCATCCTAGTCTGGCACTTGCGCTGTTCGCATACATTGACATTATTCGTGGCTTATCAGTATCTCGTCCTCTGTTAATCTGGCTTGAATATGATCGACGGTTTCGCGACAAGATGAGCAACCGTGACATTTCTGATAATGCTTGGTTCCTTGAAGATTCGTCTGTCATTGCTGAGGTCATGCGTACTATCCCACTGAGCTACACGGGTCCTCTTTTCCAAAAAGACGTCCGCTCGCCACCGCCTCCGGTTTCAGCGAAGCCGCCCTTTGGCTGTTATTTGTGCCGCAGCTCTGAGCATTACGCTAATGTATGCCCGCAGCGTCGTAACCCGTCTGATGTATCCGCTCCCGCACAGCGTTCCCCTACCGCTCCCATCACCCAGCCACGTGACCTCGGTACCGCACAACGTTCGAATCAGCCCTTTCGTCCACCCCGCGTTGCAGTCTGCCGGGATTACAACGCGGGGCGATGCTCCAACCCGTGCCCCGGTCGTCGATTGCACATCTGTGATGAATGCTTCGACGCAACCCACACCCGACCTTTCCACTCTTCCTCGACCGCGTCTACCAACTAATCCTTTCACTCCACTACAGCCCTATAAATTCCTTGGCTATCTACGTGAGTACCCCAATCGTGGCGTTGTATATCAGTTTATAACAGGTTTGCTGTATGGTTTTTCCATTGGATACACTGGCCCAAGTTTAGCTCGTCATACTGCCAACGCGCTCACTGCTCGACAGTACCCGGAAATAGTGCGTCGTTACATTGCCAAAGAGATTGAATTGAAGCACACTTTGGGACCTTTCACATCTCCTCCTTTTAAATTTTTCATCACTTCATCTTTAGGAGTAAGACCGAAGAAGACCGGAGGAGCACGCTTGATTATGGACCTTTCTCGGCCTTTCGGGTACCTCTGTGAACGATTACATTTGCAAGAAAACATACACTATGCGGTTCTGTTCTGTTGATGACGCAATTCGTATTATCATCAAGTTAGGTGCCGGTGCCATCATGGCCAAAATGGACCTGAAACATGCCTTTCGCCTCATACCTGTCAGACACCAAGACTGGCACCTTCTCGGGTATTGTTTTGACGACCGATATTACTTTGATGTCGTATTACCCTTCGGCTGCCGCTCTTCGCCCGCAATTTTGACAGAATGGCCTGTTTTTGGAATGGATTATTCAAAATGTATGTCATTTTCGGAATGTCCTGCACTATATGGATGATTTCTTTTTCGCGGGTCCATGCGGTTCCATCCTTTGTCAGTTAGCCATTGAGCTTATGGCGTTGTTGTGTTTGGATCTGGGCATTCCGCTAGCGCCCGATAAGACTGAAGGGCCCTCAACGAAATTAACTTTTCTCGGCGTCGTCCTGGACTCAGTCGATCAAACTATTTCGCTTCCACCAGGAAGACTTCAAGATTTAATCGATGAGTTCACAGTGTTCTCAACTAGGCAGTTTGCTTCAAAGCGTGACCTTCTGAGTCTTATCGGCAAGCTTAGTTTTGCTACGAAATGTATTCCGGCCGGTCGGATCTTCTTAAGACGAATGATCGATTGTGCCAATTCAGTCCGCTTGCTACATCAGTCAGTTAATCTGAACTCCGAATTTCGCGCCGATTTAGAGTGGTGGATTAAGTTTTTGCCTCTATGGAACGGCACTGCTTCTTTTGTTGAGCCAGACTGGACAGACGCAGACAGTCTGAGTTTGTATACGGATGCGTCTCACGTCGGCTGCGGCGGATGTTTTGGTAACCGATGGTTTCATTTAATTTGGCCACCTGAACTTATGAATCTGCATCCGCATATCACTTGAGATGTTGCCAATTCTTTGCGCATGCAGACTATGGGCTACACACTGGCACCGCAAGCGAATTACATTCTTCTGTGACAATCAGGCCGTAGCAGCAGCAGTTTGGAGCAAGTTCTCTTCTAAGCATCCCGGGGTCATGGCACTAATCAGAGCAATACATTTCGAGGCTGCACGGTATAATTTTCATCTACGCATCTTATACATACCTGGGAAGAGTAATGCCACAGCAGACGCGTTGTCCCGTGACAACATTGAGCGGTTTTTTGAACTCTTACCGACGGCAAATCTTTTTCATGCCTACAGCGTTCTGTTGTGTTCAGAAATTCAATAAAGGGGTGTTCGGCGCGGCTTGTCTCAACGGAAGTCGGTGACCAGCGGCGCCGTTCAGTTGCGACCGTTTGGACATCGCTGGCTTTCGAGCACTTGCCCACATCCACAAAGCGGCAACTTAATTAAACGAGTCCGAAAGCGTTAATGCTATTTAACGCTGTAGGCGTTAAATACCGTTAACGCCGGGCGAGTTTCGCTTGTCCCTGGCAACGTAGCAGCTTCATCCAGTGATGACGCTAACAATTTAGTAGAAGAAAGCATAGTTCTTTTGATTGAACATTTAGTAATTAGTTCGCCAATTTTTTCGCCAAAATATTATTAGTCAGTGCGTAAAAATGTTATAGCGTACTCATAACTGCAGCAAAACAATACAATCAGGATTTTAGATTAAGCTTGCCGCTTGCGTAAGCCACTGAGATGTCATTATAACTCCAACGTTTTATGGTACATTTTACATTAGATCTACTGTCATTATAATAGCCGCCAGTGCGCATTTTCCTGCAGGTACGAAGTTAATTTTAGCACCCTCAAGTCCTCAACCCATTTTTAGGTTATACCGGAACGTTCAAAACATGTTCAGTGGCTCGTTGTGCAGAACATCAATACAAATTCTGACAAAAATAGCTAAAAGATTTTGCACTATACTTAGTACGAAATCCTTTTTATGAAAATTCAATTTTGTGGGGTCATCGGCAGTACATACACGTCAATACGGTATACGCTTTAATCATGCTTCTTACGAAAATGCGGCTGCATTTCTGTCTTCCGTACAATTATATAATTTAAAAACTTCATGGCGGGAATGCGTAAAGCATTAATTATGAATGATTTATGCAAAATTTTACCTTGAATTCTTCCATTCGTCTTATGTCCTTCGCCCATCGTAGATTTATCATCACGACCCGGGCTAAGGCTCGCAGCTTACAAACGGCAGCGGGCACATAAACATCGCTGTCACTGCTTGACGACATTGTTTCTTCATCACTTGTGGTCATCTGCACATCAATGTTCTCCCAGTCAATAGTTGACAACACTTTGGCAATGGTAACTTCCTCGGAATGGCTTTCGGGATCTTTTGGCTGGTACGGGCGTTGCCTTTCCGCCTGCTGTAGACTGTGGGAGATCGATGTTTTGAGGCGCGGGTTAGGGTCAGGATCATTTGTAGCAGCGGTATTTTCTAAAACTTTGGTATCCGAAATTAATACTTCTGGTCCTTTAACACCCGAAGATTCAGCAGCTTCCTTGTTATTGGTTTCGGATTCGTCTGCATTGTAAAGAGACAACGTAATTTAATAAGTTTATTCGGTTGAAAAATCGAATTTTAAAAAATAAAAATGAACGGAGTACCAGTACGACGCGTTCTTATTTGCATACCATCACGTGTTTGTACATTTCCAGATTCTACACTGGTTTCCATTTTGCAATGGACATTCAAAAAAGCAGGCGGTACTCCTCAACGAATATACAGTAAAGACTTCCAGAGACAATTTTGTTTGTTTACAATTTACGCAACTGAGCGCGACTCATGTAACCTCCAAAGGTTAACGTATCCTTTAAAAACGGTTAATCTTCCACATTCCACTAAGCAACAAGCAACAAAACAATTAAAAAGGCACTCTAAAAGGACTGCATACACGGCTAGCGTGTTGCACAGTTTTAACACCTTTTTTGTTGGTTACTTATATGTGTTTGGAATTTTCTAATGAATGTTTCCGCTTTCAGCGGAAATTATTAACGCTATAATTGAGCTAAACTAAACTACACCTTCAGAAGAGCAAGTTATTATTCCCAACGAACGATCTTGCAGATAAATGCAGTCTCATTACTTTCTACTTAAACATGCATTTTTTGGAACAAAAATGACAACCAAACCGTTGAGTAACTGGTGTAATACATTTTAAGGCATATGTAACATTAAATCCGATAAAATGCGTTTTCTTTTCCACTATGCCGGCAACCAGTCAGCAATGCAGAATACTTTTTACAGGATAATACAGCAGTAGAGGAATCGCAATACACAAATGATTTCCGGTGTTTCCTATTTGCAAACCAGTAATTCTACGAACAATAAGCCTCGTTTATAGAAATTATGAATAAAATCGCTGAGTAGAGAAGGATGTTGTTGGTGCCTATTCCAACAATACAAACATAAGTCTCTTGTGAATTATAAAGGGATGTTTACGAACCAGTCAATGGATAATAACCGCAAAGATAAACTGTGGTATTTTCCGGATTTTAAGTTGCATATATAAAAACATAACGCAAAAACGATGCGATATTTGGATAGATTGATCGCAAGAATAAATTGTGTCGTAGTTGTAATTTTCTTCCTGAAAAATGTGCAAAATGTATTTGGTGTTGCTCTCTCTCGTGTTAGTGTTGCAGACAATGTCAAATCCCAGCGTGACCGCCGTGGAAATTCATCCGGGGAAATGTCCACCACCCTCTGGCCTGATGGGAGTGTGCATGATCGGCCCAAACAGCTGCTGGGGAGAAGGCGATGAAATGTGTTCACAGACCATGAAATGCTGCTCGGAAGGATGCGGAAAAGTCTGTAAATCTCCGATTTAACCGGAGTTTATACCCTTTTCTTTTCGATTGTCTATCTGAATAACATGTGCGTTATAACGGGACCTGACAGTAATAATTTCATAATGATAGCCATGCCACGGGGCAGGCTAGGAAGAAGAACGATTTTCTATGAAAATCTACGGGAGAAACACCGCTCGACTTCCGTTACGCTTTTATTAGTCGAAACCAGTAATCATAAGAAATTCCAGAGCTGTGCGATCATAACTCCTCGACTAAAGTTCTCTGACAAAACATTCAGCGGATCAGAACTTCAAAGCCCAGTGTTATCGCAACAGTGTAATGCTGATCGTATGTGTACTGCTCGTACCTGTCTTGACTATCGAGCCAAGTGCTAAACACAGTTAATGCGGTGCAACAGGTAATGATAAGACGTACGTGTAATGCTAATAAGTACTGCATATGCACGGGAGATGGTGACGTACTAGCGTCATCCCTAACATGCCACTGGTGGGGATCCGAGGTCCTCCGAGGCTATTGCGACGGCCAAACTGGGGATTAACCAGGCGCCTTGCTATGCCTTTTTCCAGTGCATGTGCTGCAGTGTACGCTAGCTATACCGGGTCTGCCGCGGAGCTAGTCCGTATTGCGTCAAAATTTGTATTGCTTTCATGATTAATGCTATACAATCGTTAATGCGGAAAATTTCGACACTGCGTCTGAAGAATTTTACTGCTTCAAAATCCACTTTTACACTGTCGCTCACACAACTTACCAGTCACTGATCGGCTGTTTAATGAAAATAAAATGAAATCATGAGTTAAGCTCAATAAACTGAAGAAATATCCATCGAGATCTGTTAGTACTTTGGTTAAACAGGAACACAAAAATTATCAAAAATCCATTCCACCGTTAAATGTCCACTCATTCCGACACCGCCTATAAGGCTGCGTGTCAATTCGCGATCCACATCCAGACTGCGCCTGTGAGGCTGTCAGTCTATCGTCCATCGAAGAAAAATGCTGACAAATCAAGTCTATTGCGGAATTCAAAGAAATATTGATTACAGAAAAATAATGCTAATTTACAAAATAAATATTGCTTAGTAATTCAGTACATGCTATTCAAACTACTGCTCTTTTCCCGAATGCTCCATAGTTTCTGCGGAGAAATTCAACTGCGCCACACTATCCGCCACCTGTTCAGAAACAACTGCACTTAATTTACTGTTATCATGCGAATTGCCATTGATATTGCTATTACTACTGCTCTGATCATCTGATTTACTTGAGTCTTCGACTTCGTCCATTGCGGCATTCTCACCTGCCGGGATAATACCTTGCAACTGTGCAGCGTTTCCCTGCGGGTTCAAGTTGAACACTGGCTGGTGCTGCGGCTGATTTTGTGCGACTTGCTGCTGTTGTCCGCCTTGCGGCTCGTACTTGTCCTTCAACTTCTGCAACTGAGTGAGAACGTTTTCCACGGCATCATGCGGATTTACTACCAACTGCTCAACTGGCTTTCCAGCAACTTTCTCCAAACCAATTTCCATTGCATGGCGAATGCGGTCGATCTTGTCCTGTACGTTCAGTGTCGGAGCGTCGCTGTCTTCATGCGTCGGCCAACTGCTTATGACATCCGTGATGTCCCAGCAATGCACCAAAATACAAACGGACGTAATTCACCATAATCTGCTGTTTACGACGGTCCATGCTACGAAAATCTTGCTCTTCCTTCATCATGACCAACATCTCATCGGTGAATATTGCTACACGACCGGCGTACAACAGGTTTGCACCGTTCGCATCTGGACTAATGAAATTGAACAAGTACGGGATCATGCTTTTACGCGGATGGTACACAAGTTGACTCAATGCTTCAATATCGATAGTCAGAATGCTGTGTTCGAAATTCTCAGGATGTAATGCTGAGGGCATGCCATTGCTGCGAAGATAACCGTACCGGATATCGCGTTCTTCCTTCTTCGGGCGATCATCACGGTAGTTATACTTTTCCGCTTGCATCTCTTCCAGTAAACCGGAATTCGCCAGAAAGCGGTCCAGTGTGCTCATCGTACGGGTTAACATGCCTTTCATCAGTTTGCGCTGGTCATGCTTATCAAAACCCAACGTCAGCAGAATGCGGTCGGCGCGCTCATCCGCAGCTGGCAAATTAGGCATGCGGGTGCTGTACTGGCGTGGCTGTGCTGCCGGTGCATCGGCTCGGCGCTGCTGCGGATTCTGAGGCACCTGCGGATATTGCTTGTTATTTTTAATAGCATGCTTGGGTTTAATTAATAAAGTGCGGTCATTGCGAGGTTTATTAATGATGGTTACCGTTGAGCGGTCAGGAAAGTGGCGTGCACCAAACGGCTGACGACCAACGGTATTCCACTGCTGCTGAACTAAGGCGGCTGGCATTGCTACGGCAGACTGATCATGCTGGACTGGAGGCTGCTCTTCAGCGTTCAACTGCTGGCGTGCTTGCGACATGAGCTGGTGATGCTGCTGCTCCTGTGCTTTCATCTCGTCCCATGTCGGTACATGCTGTGCCTTGCTCCAGCCATCCTTCGTACTGCGGAAATGATCGACTGCGACACGAATTTGTTCGTAGTAGTCACGGTTGACGATGACATGCTCCCAGTGGGCGCGCAACAGGAGACACTGGAATGCCTGGTAATTGCCCAGTAGTGCTTCCAGGTGCAGCATAAAGACGCGCTGTTGTACATTCGGCGCCTGCTTGAGGATGCACGTCACACAAGCGTCCTGTGCGGGCACAGTTCGGACACTGCTGGTCGGCCATAACTACAGAAAACAATTGCGTTAATGCTTGCTATTGTGGAGTAACCTGCTGTACTTTCATCTACTCACAACTGCAATTTATTGCAAATTAATTAAAGTTAAATTTACTGCTTATTTTCAATAGAAGTATGGGACATTAAAATTATTCGTAAGCACGATAAGTGCTACGGTTTACATGCAGAGACTTTATGTACTCGTAGATACGAGTACAATCAGAATTAATGCTTGATAACAAAACGACTGCTCTGTACCATGATAGCCATTGACTGCTTAATGCAATTCGAGTACTGCTTACATACTACTGCGGAAACAGTGGTTTTCTGCGGGATGTACCACGTAACATGCGGTTAACAATTTCCTGATTTTCTTTACTAAACGCGTCTGCAAGTTCACGTGCGCGTAAATCAGCTATTGTTTGCTTTGGGCGTACTACTGCGGTAGTTTCCGGAATTACTTTCTTAACTATTGCGGGTTTATTAATTTTATTGCTGTTGTCATTATCGGAATGCTCAGTACTGTAATTACTATCAGTATCTGACTGCTCCTTCTCGTTAACAACATTATTGCTATCAGAAGTAACTACAGTACTATTGCGCTCTTTCTCAACAGGTTGTTGGCCACTATTGCGCACATCGTTATTATCCACTAATTTATCAATATCAGCTGGCAAAGATTCTGCTTTTTTCAGTACGGTAGTAGGTACTGACAGCTTATTGCGTTTAATTTTCACTTTCAATGACTTGTTTTCTGCTGATGTACTAGGTACATTATTATTGCTATCACTGCTTTTATCAGTATTGCTGTAATTAAGCATTTCCGATGGCTTAAAACAATCTTTTCGCCAGATTGTTTGCCACGATAAGGTTTCATGCGCTGGTATGCTACTTCCTGGACATTGCTCAAATCAGATAGTAATTTAATTATTGCTGTATTTGGACGAGGAATATCCTCAATCACATAAGGACCATCATAACGGCTACGTAATGATTTATTTTCATCTTTCGACTGCTCTGCTTTACGTAAAAGTATGTAATCACCGACTCGAAAATCGCCATCGACTTTCTTACGATTATACTGCTCTGCTGATGCTTCGTAACCTTGCTGAATATAAATACGAGCAATTTCATGCGCTCGATTTAATTTCCATTTTAAACGATCTAAATAATCTTCTACAGAGACGTAGTCCTCAGGAAGATTAGTCTTCGTAATGGTATCAATGGGCAACGTTTGCTCCCTACCATAAAGCATGTAAAAGGCGAATGCTTTGTAGTTTTATGTACTGTCCGATTATATGCTGCAACAACGAAAGGAAGAAACTCATCCCAGCGATCCTGGGTGCCTTTCTGCGCATACATGGATAAGCTATCTGCTATCCACTGCATTTGTCTCTCTACGAGACCTCGACCGATGCTGTGGTATGCGGTACCAAAATGGTGCTTTATCTTCGTCAACTTTGCCACTGCTTCTATTATTTGATTCATAAAGTGCGATCCTCTATCAGAATTAAGTACTTGCGGAGCACCATACGGTAAAATCACATCATAAATGAGAAATTGTGCTACTGTTATTGCTTTTCATCTGGTACTGCTTTCGCTATTACGAACTTAGTCAGTTCATCTATTGCT